CTTCCCCTCCCCCAAGTGTATCCTAAGTAGTATGAACTCATCCTAATGTTGTAAATTTCTTCCCCCTCAAGTGTAAGTAACTCATCCTGTAAATTTCCTTCCCCCTCCCCATGTGTAAGAATGAACTCATCCTAATGTTGTAAATTTCCTCTCCCCTCCCCAAGTATAAGTATGAGCTCATCCTAATGTTGTGAATTTCCTTCCCCCTCCCCAAGTATAAGTATGAACTCATCCTAATGTTGTAAATTTCCTTCCCCCTCCCCAAGTGTAAGTATGAACTCATCCTAATGTTGTAAATTTCCTTCCCCCTCCCCCATGTGTAAGAATGAACTCATCCTAATGTTGTAAATTTCCTCCCACCCCCCCTCCCCAAGTGTAAGTATGAACTCATCCTAATGTTGTAAATTTCCTTCCCCCTCCCCAAGTGTAAGTATGAACTCATCCTAATGTTGTAAATTTCCTTCCCCCTCCCCCATGTGTAAGAATGAACTCATCCTAATGTTGTAAATTTCCTCTCCCCTCCCCAAGTATAAGTATGAGCTCATCCTAATGTTGTAAATTTCCTTCCCCCTCCCCATGTGTAAGTATGAACTCATCCTAATGTTGTAAATTTCCTGCCCCCTCCCCATGTGTAAGAATGAACTCATCCTCCCCCTCCCCAAGTGTAAGTATGAGCTCATCCTAATGTTGTAAATTTCCTCACCCCTCCCCAAGTGTTACTATGAACTCACCCTAATGTTGTAAATTTCCTCACCCCTCCCCAAGTGTAAGTATGAGCTCATCCTAATGTTGTAAATCACCTCCCCCCTCCCCAAGTGTAAGTATGAGCTCATCCTAATGTTGTAAATCACCTCCCCCCTCCCCAAGTGTAAGTATGAGCTCATCCTAATGTTGTAAATTTCCTCTCCCCTCCCCAAGTGTAAGTATGAGCTCACCCTAATGTTGTAAATCACCTCCCCCCTCCCCAAGTGTAAGTATGAGCTCACCCTAATGTTGTAAATTTCCTCTCCCCTCCCCAAGTATAAGTATGAGCTCACCCTAATGTTGTAAATCACCTCCCCCTTCCCCAAGTGTAAGTATGAGCTCACCCTAATGTTGTAAATCACCTCCCCCCTCCCCAAGTGTAAGTATGAGCTCATTCTAATGTTGTAAATCTCCTCCCCCCTCCCCAAGTGTAAGTATGAGCTCATCCTAATGTTGTAAATCACCTCCCCCCTCCCCAAGTGTAAGTATGAGCTCACCCTAATGTTGTAAATCACCTCCCCCCGCCCCCCTCCCCAAGTGTAAGTACCTCCCCCCTCCCCAAATGTGATGACTCACCCTAATGTTGTAAATCATCTCCCCCCTGAGCTCACCCCCCTCCCCTAATGTTGTAAATTTCCTCTCCCCTGTAAGTATGAGCTCACCCTAATGTTGTAAATCACCTCCCCCCTCCCCAAGTGTAAGTATGAGCTCACCCTAATGTTGTAAATCACCTCCCCCCTCCCCAAGTGTAAGTATGAGCTCACCCTAATGTTGTAAATCACCTCCCCCCTCCCCAAGTGTAAGTATGAGCTCACCCTAATGTTGTAAATCACCTCCCCCCTCCCCAAGTGTAAGTATGAGCTCACCCTAATGTTGTAAATCACCTCCCCCCTCCCCAAGTGTAAGTATGAGCTCATCCTAATGTTGTAAATCACCTCCCCCCTCCCCAAGTGTAAGAATGAACTCACCCTAAAGTTGTAAATCACCTCCCCCCTCCCAGAGTGTAAGTATGAGCTCATCCTAATGTTGTAAATCACCTCCCCCCTCCCCAAGTGTAAGTATGAGCTCACCGTAATGTTGTAAATTTCCTCTCCCCTTCTATAAAACCTGTTGCACATACACTTGCACAATAGCTGGGGAATGAGTCATAAAACATTAGATAAGTTACCAAGAACTTGTATTCATGTATGGGTTCATGTGTACAGTGTAACGTAAGAAAATTTATTCTGCATTTAACTTTGTTTTAGAATATTGTAGTATGAGTGCTGATTGACAAGTTGTGAGTCTTGCGTTGAAGAAATTCAACAGGAATGTCCTTTTTCAGCTCTACTATTGCTGGACAATTTAAGGCTGTGTACCCAAACACTGGTGTCATTCGGTCAGTTTATCTTGAAAGGGTAGCACTCTAAAATGAATAAAATCGTTGAAAGAGCAGTGATTCAATATTTGCATAAGAAAGGTCTTGAAGCTAAGGATATCCATACAGATATGGTAGCAACACTAGGGATCGATGCCCCTTCATATGCTACAGTGAATAGATGGTTGCAGAATTTAAGCGTGGCAGACAGAGCCTTGGGTAGGATGCCCGTCCTGGAAGGCCTATCATTGTTGCAACCCCAGAGGTGGTTAATAAGGTCTATGATATTGTTATTGCTGACAAATGGGTAACAGAGAGATATACAGCTAGTACAGTTGTTATCTCACGGGAAAGAGTACATTCAATTCTTAAAGAAGACTTTGCAATGTGAAAGCTCTCAGTCCGTTGGATACCTAGACTAGGCGGACTTTGCCGTGTGCTAATCTGAACCTTTAAGAGGCAGATCCTGCTTCATTTCAACAGAGGATGATACATGGGTCCACCATTTTCACCCCAGATGCCAAACAATGGTCTAAACAATGGAAGCACCCTGGTTCACCCCTGCCAAAGAAGGCAAAGACTATTCCGTTTGCTGGAAAGATTATGGCCTTGGTTTTCTGGGATGCTGATAGCATTCTGATGGTAGATTATCTGCAAAAGTGACAAACAATCAATGGCATATATTATGCATCACTGCTTAGGCAGTTTAGAGAAAATATTAAACTCAAGCACTGCTGAAAACTCAGTAAAGGTGTGTTGTTTCACCAACACAATGCCCTTGTTCACAAGTCTGTCATTGCCATGGCTGCCATCAACAATTGTGGCCTTAAATTGATTGCGCAACTGCCTGATTTACCTAATCTCACTCCAGCTGACTTTCATCTATTTCCAAAACTGAAAAAGGTCATATGTGGTACCTACTTTCGGTCAGATGATGATGTCATACATGCAGTGGAGAACTTCTGAACGGTCAATAAAAGAGCTTCAGTAAGGAAGCATTGAGGCCCTTAAACATTTCTGGCAAAAGTGTATAGATACTGAAGGGGATTGAATAATGCAGTATGTCCGCCAAAAGTCAAATCCTTAAATATAAGGCTCACAACTTATCAATCAGCCCCTGTAAAGAGAGACTCAGAAGACTTACAAAGTGTTCATTTTCCTGCTTCACACGGCACAAATATTTAAACATAACAGCAATATATCTATTTGTGTTTATACATACATGTGTAAATAATGCTAATCAAGATGGAAATTTGATATCGGTTTAGGTCAATATAAGAAGTTATTTTTACTTCTTGGTTGGTCCAAAAAATACAGTTATATTCCCTCTGGCCTGACATTTCTTGGTGTGTCCAAGAAACACTGTAACTTTTCCCTTGACCTCACAATTCTTGGTCAAAGAAACAGTTATTTTCCCTTGGCCTGACAAGTCCAAGTTAGAACAAGAAACAAAAATATTTTCCCCTGGTCTGACATGTCCAAGTTGGTACTAGACACACAAATATTTTCCCCCTGGTCTGACATGTCCAAGTTGGTACTAGACACACAAATATTTTTCCCCTGGTCTGACATGTCCAAGTTGGTACTAGACACACAAATATTTTTCCCCTGGTCTGACATGTCCAAGTTGGTACTAGACACACAAATATTTTCCCCCTGGTCTGACATGTCCAAGTTGGTACTAGACACACAAATATTTTTCCCCTGGTCTGACATGTCCAAGTTGGTACTAGACACACAAATATTTTTCCCCTGGTCTGACATGTCCAAGTTGGTACTAGAAACACAAGTATTTTTCCCCTGGTCTGACATGTCCAAGTTGGTACTAGAAACAAATATTTTTCCCCTGGTCTGACATGTGCAAGTTGGTATTAGTAACACAAATATTTTTCCCCTGGCCTGACATGTCCAGGACGATACTTAAAACATAGATATTTTTCCACTAGCCTGACATCTTTTTGCAACTGTGGAACAGTAAATGACATTACTTTGATAGACCCCAAAGAACAATGTCGGTAAAGCTTAAAATAGCAAGTGTCTTTACATAGGACGTACAACACCATTATCACTCAAACGGCCGGTCTCCATGATATTAAACCACCCACCTAACTCTATTTACCAACCAAACTGACACTGTCTCTAAACCAATAGCGGCGTACCACCACAGCAAACCTGTATCACACATACAAGGTAACAAATAGCATTGGGTCTCAGAAGTTGACATCCGAGTATTGTAATAACGTATTTTGTGTGTGCCCAGATTTCTTTTTTTCTTAATTCGGCTTTAAATATCAGGATTATTTTTTTTGAATTTGGAGTTTTTACTTATATTGTCATGTGATTGATATACTGTATTTGATTCTTGTGTGATGTTCATGGGATATATTCAGTAATGATTAAGAAGTACTGATTGAAGGATGTGATACAGTCCATGCAGTATTGAGAAATACTTATACAGAAACAGTGTGGGCAGCTGACATTTGGAAAATGTTTCAGAGACAGACAGACATAGTGCTATAGATTGATGGAGTTAAGCTGGAAAGAATCTGATAAAATAGGACAGAAATAGTATGAATATTCTGTCATAATATATATATATTATATCACGATTCAGCTGACCTCAGCAAAAAATATAACTCATTTACTTCAAAATTGAAAATGAATCTAATAGCCTAGCGTACATTTAGAGAGTGTTGTCTGAACACTCATCTATTGAGGGGTGTTTTCCTTTTGTGCATGTGAAAAAAAAGACCTGGAGGATTTTTTTTTCAAATATGACATCGTTGACGTGTACTGCGAGTGGTACTCACCAAATAATTATTGTTTACTGTTGTTGGGTAGCGACAGGTTTAATTTATTTTTATTTTCCTCTAAATATGAATCATTTTATATATTCCAGGCAAAGACAAAAGGCAAAGTCGCATGAAAAAGCTCAAGAAAAGAATATCAGCAAGCTTTGGACGTCTCTGTAAGTATGGCCTATCAAGATAGAATGTACAATACCAAGTTTTGATTGCTCTGAAAACCCACATGAGAGGGCGATACTGACATAAGTCCTTTTGTTACTAAGGCGGTAAAAGAAAGCAAATATTTGTGGCAATTTATTGTCAGATCAAAACAATAAATAAACTATCACATTTCCCTATTTCAATTGATCTATTATCCTCCCACTCTTTTTCATAGATCCCCCCTCCCCTCTCCTTCTCAGAATCCAACATCCACACACAGAAACATGTGTGTCTTTGTTTATATAACTCTCAAATACCTTCAGATGGTTGGGATCACTAGCCTCACATAAGACCCTCTCATTAGTTTGTTAGACTTTGATGGAAACTCTCCAGAACAAGAACAAGACTCCAGGGATCTTATGATAGATTGTGTCAATCATGGCTACTAGGGATCAACTCTTCTCAAAATCATTCCTCTTTAAACATTACCTAATTAGCTTTATCAGGGATGTGTAAACGTTTGTGATTGGAAGAGGTTACACCAACTGTTGGTGAAAACTGGTAATTCAAAGTACACATCAAGGACAGAAATACATCATTCTTGGGGATTTAATAAAGATTTATAAAAATCAAAGATAAAGATGGAGACAGGTTTTATCTGTAACAGTCAAGCTTCTGAAGGATTTGACAGCAACTAAACGGTAAATGACATTTATCTCAAACATATTACATTGTGCAGTCATATATCTATTTATTCATAATATCAACATTTTTTTTGTTTATTCATAATTATTTGTTATATATATATATATATTCTTGGTCTACTTGGGTGTCATTGTAACCAGTGAAAATGTCCCTGGTCTACTTGGGTGACATTGTAACCTTTGAAAATGTCCTTGGTCTACTTGGGTGTCATTGTAACCAGTGAAAATGTCCTGGTCTACTTGGGTGTCATTGTAAACAGTGAAAATGTCTTGGTCTACTTGGGTGTCATTGTAAACAGTGAAAATGTCCTTGGTTTTACTTGGGTGTCATTGTAACCAGTGAAAATGTCCTTGGTCTACTTGGGTGTCATTGTAAACAGTGAAAATGTCCTTGGTTTTACTTGGGTGTCATTGTAACCAGTGTCATTGTAACCAGTGAAAATGTCCTTGGTCTACTTGGGTGTCATTGTAACCAGTGAAAATGTCCTTGGTCTACTTGGGTGTCATTGTAAACAGTGAAAATGTCCTTGGTCTACTTGGGTGTCATTGTAACCAGTGAAAATGTCCTTGGTCTACTTGGGTGTCATTGTAAACAGTGAAAATGTCTTGGTCTACTTGGGTGTCATTGTAAACAGTGAAAATGTCCTTGGTTTTACTTGGGTGTCATTGTAACCAGTGAAAATGTCCTTGGTCTACTTGGGTGTCATTGTAACCAGTGAAAATGTCCTTGGTCTACTTGGGTGTCATTGTAACCAGTGAAAATGTCCTTGGTCTACTTGGGTGTCATTGTAACCAGTGAAAATGTCCTTGGTCTACTTGGGTGACATTGTAACCTTTGAAAATGTCCTTGGTCTACTTGGGTGTCATTGTAACCTTTGAAAATGTCCCTGATCTACGTGGGTGTCATTGTAACCAGTGAAAATGTCCTTGGTCTACTTGTGTGTCATTGTAACCAGTGAAAATGTCCTTGGTCTACTTGGGTGTCATTGTAACCAGTGAAAATGTCCTTGGTCTACTTGGGTGTCATTGTAACCAGTGAAAATGTCCTTGGTCTACTTGGGTGTCATTGTAACCAGTGAAAATGTCCTTGGTCTACTTGGGTGTCATTGTAACCAGTGAAAATGTCCTTGGTCTACTTGGGTGTCATTGTAACCAGTGAAAATGTCCTTGGTCTACTTGGGTGTCATTGTAACCAGTGAAAATGTCCTGGTCTACTTGGGTGTCATTGTAAACAGTGAAAATGTCTTGGTCTACTTGGGTGTCATTGTAAACAGTGAAAATGTCCTTGGTTTTACTTGGGTGTCATTGTAACCAGTGAAAATGTCCTTGGTCTACTTAGGTGTCATTGTAAACAGTGAAAATGTCCTTGGTTTTACTTGGGTGTCATTGTAACCTTTGAAAATGTCCTTGGTCTACTTGGGTGTCATTGTAACCTTTGAAAATGTCCCTGGTCTACTTGGGTGTCATTGTAACCAGTGAAAATGTCCTGGTTTACTTGGGTGTCATTGTAACCAGTGAAAATGTCCTGGTCTACTTGGGTGTCATTGTAACCAATGAAGATGTCCTGGTCTACTTGGGTGTCATTGTAACCTTTGAAAATGTCCTTGATTTACTTAGGTGTCATTGTAACCAGTGAAAATGTCCTTGGTCTACTTGGATGTCATGGTAACCAGTGAAAATGTCTTTGTTTACTTGGGTGTCATTGTAACCAGTGAAAATGTCCTTGGTCTACTTGGGTGTCATTGTAACCGCTGAAAATGTCCTTGGTCTACTTGGATGTCATTGTAACCAGTGAAAATGTCCCTGGTTTACTTGGATGTCATTGTAACCAGTGAAAATGTCCCTGGTTTACTTGGGTGTCATTGTAACCAGTGAAAATGTCCTTGGTCTACTTGGGTGTCATTGTAACCGCTGAAAATGTCCTTGGTCTACTTGGGTGTCATTGTAACCGCTGAAAATATCCTTGGTCTACTGTTGTCACTGTAACCAGTGAAAATGTCCTTCAATGCCTTAGCATCAGCCAATTTAGAATTTTCCTCACAGAGTTAAAAAGCCTTGCATAAAATGTTTTGTTTTAATTTTGTCCCCTAGGTTTTTGTTAACTGAAACAGATGTTCTCTTATAGGTTGTGTCTCAGCTTGTCACTGCTTTTGATATAATCTCTTATTCTCTTCTTTTAGACAACATAAGTTTTTTTATTGTGCATCTGGATGAGAGGGAAAACTGACTTAGCAATCAGTGTTACATTCCTCATGCAGCCATTGGCTATATATAGCTTGTGTTGATTGCTGCATATACAGGCCCACAAGGCTTTTGATTACATCAGCAGGTTTAGAATTGAAAGATTTGTGTACTTCTAGCAGTCGAAATGTAGTTCAAAGTCAGAACATGTGTGACATTCATTAGTCTGTAACAGAATATAAATTTTTGATGAATTACTGAAACATCTTACTACACAAATGGTGAAGAGCCAGATTGAGCTATTTACGGAAAGCTTTTTGAGTTGGTTTCAAGAGTGGCAGATCTTTTATTGGCGATGCATTAGATGGGGTTACAGGAACTTGACCACGTAATCAAGATGTTTGAACTTATATCTGTTTGAAGGCAGAATACAGGGTTTCACATGACGTCATTTAATAGAGTTGTAATAGGGTTGGATCTTTTGAACAGACTGGACAATATGTTAGTTAGGTTAATGTTTGGAGCAGTGTGTCAGTGTCTGTAATGTCAATGGGTCATAGTGACTGTAATGTCAATTTGTGTCAATGTATGTTATGTCAATGTGTGTACAGTGTCTGTGATGTCAATGGGTCATAGTGACTGTAATGTCAATGTGTGTACAGTGTCTGTAATGTCAATGTGTGTACAGTATCTGTAATGTCAATGTGTGTACAGTGTCTGTAATGCAATGTGTGTACAGTGTCTGTAATGTCAATGTGTGTAGTGTCTGTAATGCCAATGTGTGTACAGTGTCTGTAATGCAATTTGTGTCAATGTCTGTGATGACAATGTGTGTCAAAGTCTGTAATGCCAATGTGTGTACAGTGTCTGTAATGACAATGTGTGTCAAAGTCTGTAATGTCAATGTGTGCCAGTTTCTATATTGTCTTTGTGTGCCAATGTTAGTGTCATTGACTTGTATTCAATATATTGTGAAAAATGAAGTTGAAAAGAAACAAGAAACACTAGTGTCTATATGTGATAACATCTGGTTTCCTTTTTGTAGAAGTGTATTGATTTCCCAATATACAGGTATCAATGGTTCCTACAAAGACATTGTTACACTCTTTGATTAACCAAGGTAAACTACACTAGCTGCCTCTGTCATAGTTCCATAAGATCAATTAGTCTTCACTCCGTGTGTGAATGTACCTATGATAGGAGGGCCAGCTGAAAGATACTGAGGGATCAGAGCCAGTTAGGTCAAGGACACTTCATAACATATTAGTGATGTCAAGGATACAGGCCTAGAGCAAATCAGTAGTGTTTTGAAGGGCTTAAAAAAATTCCACAGTGTTGTCAAGGATATGTACAGGTTAGCTCCACATTGTGATCAAAGATATAGTTTAGCTCCACATTGTGATCAAAGATATAGTTTAGCTCCACATTGTGGTCAAGGATACAGGTTTGCTCCAAAGTATTGTGAAGGATATAGGTTTGCTCCACAGTGTTGTCAGGGATACAGGTTAGCTCTACAGTGTTGTCAGGGATACAGGTTTGCACCACAGTGTTGTCAGGGATACAGGTTAGATCCACAGTGTTGTCAGAGATACAGGTTAGATCCACAGTGTTGTCAGGGATACAGGTTAGATCCACCCACAGTGTTGTCAGGGATACAGGTTAGATCCACAGTGTTGTCAGTGATACAGGTTAGATCCACCCACAGTGTTGTCAGGGATACAGGTTAGATCCACCCACAGTGTTGTCAGGGATACAGGTTAGATCCACAGTGTTGTCAGGGATACAGGTCAGCTCCACAGTGTTGTCAGGGATACAGGTTAGATCCACAGTGTTGTCAGGGATACAGGTCAGATCCACAGTGTTGTCAGGGATACAGGTTAGATCCACAGTGTTGTCAGGGATACAGGTTAGCTCCACAGAGTTGTCAAGGATACAGGGTATCAAACTGGGATAGTTGAGAGGGACAGTGTGTTAGAGAAGGGGAGGGATGCATTGAACAGTAATAATGGGTGGAGCGGGAACTGTGTTGGACAAATTATCAATTCATCAATAATTGGCTATGTGTTAGTGGTGTACTCTGCTTCAAGGTATGTAACATCACACAGAGATATCGTATTCTCTCTGGATCAGACTTCATGGCTTTAATTAAGACTGCTCTGATCTTTATTGTGATTGATGGACTGGAAGTATAAAATGTCTGTTTGGCTGGGACTTTTGTGTAACTGTTGTGTCTGACTATCATGGTAGGTCTCTGTGACTAATTACAGACTGTAATTTATCTTCTGTACCTGTTTCAAAGGGTATTTACAGTGGGGTAACTACCACGATTTTTGTAATTACTGCAGTGTAAATAAATAAGTCATTATATTTACATTTGATAATGATTTTCATAAAGCATTTAAAAATCAAATTAACATATACAAGTCATGAAAAACCGTCCAGTGCAATTGACTGCCATATTATATTGGTAGCTGTAGGTTGCACTGCTTATGCATCATCAACAGCATGAACAGCAACAAAATAAATTATTAAACTGAGATTTTTTTTTATTTTTACAAAACATATATATCACATACCATTGCATCTAAATGTCTTCCACCTCTCTTTAATTCACATTAAAACCACATATATTTAAGATGTAAGGAAACATGACACATTCACATTCAGTGTAGTAGTAATAACAAGTCTGGTATGGTCTCTTGCTCAAGCCTGATTACCATATGTAAATATTGATAAATACAAACATAGGGGATGGTAAGATCCATATAGAGACTAAACAACACAAGTGGGAATATTATGGGATGTCTTTGTGGCTTTGTTGTATGGCTTTGTGACTAGTGTAGGATTGGTGTTTTATCATTATAGATGTTGTCATTTGTTTAATTTTGCAAAAGGAAACAAAGGTTGAAAACTGTAGGGGCTAATGCATCAGAGGGGAGGGCAAAAGGTTGAAAAATGTAGGTGGGAAGGACATCAGAGGAGAGGTTAAAAGGTTGAAAATTGTAGGGGCTAATGCATCAGAGGGAGGGCAAAAGGTTGAAAAATGTAGGTTGGAGGGACATCAGAGGAGAGGTTAAAAGGTTGAAAATTGTAGAAGGTAATTCATCGGTGGGGAGGGCAAAAGGTTGAAAACTGTAGGGGGTAAGGTAGCAGAGGTGAAGGCAAAAGGTTGAAAACTGTAGGGGGTAAGGCAGCAGAGGTGAAGGCAAAAGGTTGAAAACTGTAGGGGTTAAGGCAGTTGAGGGGAGGGCAAAAGGTTGAAAACTGGAGGGGTTAAGGCAGTAAAGGGGAGGGCAAAAGGTTGAAAAAATTGGGGGGTAAGGCAGCAGAGGGGAAGGCAAAAGGTTGAAAACTGTAGGGGTTAAGGCAGTAAAGGGGAGATGTTACAGATGATACAGACCCTATGTGCCTTTTCGTTTGTTCTGTGAGTTTAACAATATTTCCTACTTCCTAGGATGTGAAAGGTTCAAGAGATGATACAGACCCTATGTGCCTGTTGGTTTGTTTTATGGGTTTTGAAAATACATCCTATTTCCTTGGAGCTTTAAGGCAGATATAATGATGCAGGTGCTATATGCCTGTTATTTCAGTTTCTTTTTAATGACACGCTAAGTGATAATACATGTATGTTAGGGTTTATGGTCTACTGTAACACTACAGCTGTTTTATACTTCAAATCGTCAGAAAAAATTTCCTCTCCGGCTTCAGGTTGTAGGATTTTGCCTGGTGTTGTGGTATTTACTCTGTAGATGCAGTATATACAACCAAAACAAAACCTTCTTTAATATAAAAATCTATAAATGGCTGACGTTATATTGACTTTGGTCCTGTCTCTATAATTTGAAGACTTATATATAGCTTTAGTTTGACTTCAGTCCTGTCTCTTAAATGTGAAAACCTATAAATGTAGCTGATCTTTGACAGGGGAGGGTATTAGGCAGGCTTCATCTTGTTTTATACAGTTGAGGGTACTAGGCAGGCTTCATCTTGTTTTAGATAGTTGATGGTATTAGGCAGGCTTCACCTTGTTTTAGACAGTTGAGGGTATTAGGCAGGCTTCACCTTGTTTTAGACAGTTGAGGGTATTAGGCAGGCTTCACCTTGTTTTAGACAGTTGAGGGTATTAGGCAGGCTTCACCTTGTTTTGTTTTAGACACCTTGTTTTAGACAGTTGAGGGTATTAGGCAGGGGTATTAGGCAGGCCTGGGGGTATTAGGCAGGCCTCACCTTGTTTTAGACAGTTGAGGGTATTAGGGAGGCTTCACCTTGTTTTAGACAGTTGAGGGTATTAGGCAGGCTTCACCTTGTTTTAGACAGTTGAGGGTATTAGGCAGGCTTCACCTTGTTTTAGACAGTTGAGGGTATTAGGCAGGCTTCACCTTGTTTTAGACAGTTGAGGGTATTAGGCAGGCTTCACCTTGTTTTAGACAGTTGAGGGTATTAGGCAGGCTTCACCTTGTTTTAGACAGTTGAGGGTATTAGGCAGGCTTCACCTTGTTTTAGACAGTTGAGGGTATTAGGCAGGCTTCACCTTGTTTTAGACGGTTGAGGGTATTAGGCAGGCTTCACCTTGTTTTAGACAGTTGAGGGTATTAGGCAGGCTTCACCTTGTTTTATACAGTTGTGGGTATGAGGCAGGCCTCACCTTGTTTTAGACAGTTGAGGGTATTAGGCAGGCCTCACCTTGTTTTAGACAGTTTAGCTAACTTTACTTTGTTTTGAGGTTCTTGTCATGATGATGGCTGTTGTTAGTGAAAGGTGATTACTTACCAGTGATAAGTGTTACTGCTGTTTCTTTCAATGTTCACTGCTTTTTTTCCTCCTGTTAATTACGTACTGGTACTGGTGGTGAAATCGGGAGGAAGGGTATGAAGTGTTTCACCATAAACCTTTCTATTTTCTCTACAATGTCAGATCTGTGTTAGGTAGTTAGAAGAGTAAGGATGTATATATACATGTAGGAATAATGAGGTAAGTCTTGAAAATTATTTTCTGTAAATGTAACTTTGGAGAGTTCTTTGACCTTTGTGATATCCCTTGTGTCTACTTTCAGGTTTTGTAACTGTAACTTTGGAGATTTCTTTGACCTTTGACCTTTGTAACATCCCTAACGTCTATTTTCATGTTTTGTAATTGTAATTTATGAGAGATCTTTAACCTTTGTTACATCCCTCAGGTCCTCTACTGTTTGTCTTATAAGATCTTCCCTTCTGTTACCAATCTGAATAAAACATTCCAAAATAACCCTCCCTCCCTTCACCCTGTAAATCACCACCACCACCCTCTATACATATATATCCCTAAGTATTTCTCCCTCCCTTCACCCTGTAAATCACCACCACCACCCTCTATACATATATATATCCCTAAGTATTTCTCCCTCCCTACACCCTGTAAATCACCACCACCACCCTCCATACATGTACATATCCATAAAGTATTCCTCCCTCCCTACCACCACCACCCTCCATACATGTACATATCCCTAAAGTATTCCTCCCTCCCTACCCCCTGTAAATCACCACCACCACCCTCCATACATGTACATATCCCTAAAGTATTCCTCCCTCCCTACCCCCTGTAAATCACCACCACCACCCTCCATACATGTACATATCCCTAAAGTATTCCTCCCTCCTTACCCCTTGTACATCACCACCACCACCCTCCATACATGTACATATCCCTAAAGTATTCCTCCCTCCCTACACCCTGTAAATCACCACCACCACCCTCCATACATGTACATATCCCTAAAGTATTCCTCCCTCCCTACCCCCTGTAAATCACCACCACCACCCTCCATACATGTACATATCCCTAAAGTATTCCTCCCTCCCTACCCCCTGTAAATCACCACCACCACCCTCCATACATGTACATATCCCTAAAGTATTGCTCCCTCCCTACCCCCTGTAAATCACCACCACCACCCTCCATACATGTACATATCCCTAAAGTATTGCTCCCTCCCTACCCCCTGTAAATCACCACCACCACCCTCCATACATGTACATATCCCTAAAGTATTGCTCCCTCCCTACCCCCTGTAAATCACCACCACCACCCTCCATACATGTACATATCCCTAAAGTATTCCTCCCTCCCTACCCCCTGTAAATCACTACCACCACCCTCCATACATGTACATATCCCTAAAGTATTCCTCCCTCCCTACACCCTGTACATCACCACCATCCTTCCCCATTACAAGTTTCTATATGAAATTTATTTCTACACCTTCATTTTACAGTGATATTTACTACCCCAAGCTGTTTACAATAACTAGTCATTGTTTATTGTTGTAGCCATAACCAAGGAGGACACTATACATGAGAGTGACCAAGAGGTGAGTAGGTGTGCCAGCAGTCATTTCGGAGGGTGTGTCAGCCAGTTTTTCAAAAGTTGTCTGTACCTGTGTTAGAGGCAGGCGCTGAGAGCATGTATGCCAGTGTGTCACCTGTCATGTCAGAGGAAGTGTTTACCAGTGTGTCAGAGGGTGTGTCAACCATGGTGTCAAAGGGTATGTCAGAGGGTGTGTCAGCCAGTGGGTTAGAGGGTTTATCAACCAGTGTGTCAAGATGTATGTCAGAGGGTGTGTCAACCAGTATGTTGGAGGGTGTGTCAACCTGTTTTTGAAAGGGTGTGTCAGAGGCAGGTGCACAGAGCATGTAAGCCAGTGTGTCAGCAATTACATTAGAGGGTGTGTTAACCAGTGTGTCAGAGGCTGTGTCAACCAGTGTGTCAGAGAGTGTGTCAGATGGTGTGTCAGAGGGTGTGTCAACCAGTGTGTCAGAGGGTGTGACAACCAGTGTGTCAGAGGGTGTGTCAGCAGTTACATCAGAGGGTGTCATTCAGTGTGTCAGAGGGTGTGTCAACCAGTGTGTTAGAGGGTGTGTCAACCATTGTGTTAAAGGGTATGTCAGAGGGTGTGTCAGCCAGTGGGTTAGAGGGTTTGTCAACCAGTGTGTCAAAGCATATGTCAGAGGGTATGTTAAGCAGTGTGTCAGAGAGTGTCAGAGGGTGTGTCAACCAGTGTCAGAAGGTGTGTCAGAGTGCATGTCAACCAGTGTGTCAGAGAGTGTGTCAAAGGGTGTGTCAACCAGTGTGTCAGAGAGTGTGTCAGAGGGTATGTCAACCAGTGTGTCAGAGGGTATGTCAACCAGTGTGTCAGAGAGTGTGTCAGAGGGTATGTCAACCAGTGTGTCAGAGGGTGAGTCAACTAGTGTGTCAGAGGGTGAGTCAACCAGTGTGTCAGAGAGTGTGTCAGAGGGTATGTCAACCAGTGTGTCAGAGGGTGAGTCAACCAGTGTGTCAGAGAGTGTGTCAGAGGGTATGTCAACCAGTGTGTCAGAGGGTATGTCAACCAGTGTGTCAGAGGGTGAGTCAACCAGTGTGTCAGAGGGTGAGTCAACCAGTGTGTCAGAGAGTGTGTCAGAGGGTATGTCAACCAGTGGGTTAGAGGGTTTATCAACCAGTGTGTCAAGATGTATGTCAGAGGGTGTGTCAACCAGTATATTGGAGGGTGTGTCAACCTGTTTTTCAAAGGGTGTGTCAGAGGCAGGTGCACAGAGCATGTAAGCCAGTGTGTCAGAGAGTGTGTCAGAGGGTATGCAAACCAGTGTGTCAGAGGGTATGTCAGAGGGTATGCAAACCAGTGTGTCAGAGAGTGTGTCAGAGGGTGTGTCAGAGGGTGAGTCAACCAGAGTATCCAAGAGTGTGTCATTACTTGTCAGTACTAATAATGCAGTTTGATTTTGGTATTGATCAGAAAAATAAATTGGCTGATGATCATCGCTATTCCTATAGAAGTACTGGATGAGCCTCTCGATTTTTATATGTAGGTGTGCCTTGGTACCTAGTTGTGCACGTTTGATTTTTGGACTTATAAAAATAAAAAGGCCAACAGGCGACCATCTTTGATTTGGCAATTAATGATTAATATCACTGTTTCCTCAAATTATGAGCTAAAAAGAGAAAAGAAAGGAGAAGATCCAGCTAAAATGAAATAAAAATCAGACAATGATGGATGCCAAGATACCTCAGGGATCTCTTGTGAACTATTTATGATCTGAAGTTGTATATCCGGTAAATCAGATGTTTTACTAAAATGATAACACAAGTGAAAGTGATAGTATTAACACTAAAACTGGTTTGTTTACAGTCAGAACACGAGGGTCTAGTAAATGGTGTGTCCCCGGATGGTGTACAAGGCTACCCAGGGGCCAATCTCTCACTACAACGCTGTTCCTATAAGGATGACTATGAAGGCCACAATGGGATCAACCCCGCTAACCGACACACTGGTGGTTACCACACCCTAGGCCGGCCTACTGTGGTACACCGACTAACAAGTAGGATTTCTCATTGTCTCACACAGCTAGTCTGCAGTCCATTTACCATAGAAATGTTTAGAGACTGTAATAATATTTTGGCTTGTTTGTGACAGATAAGAACCATGTTCCATTGTTTGTGACGGAAAAGAACCATGTTTTGTTGTTTGTGACAGATAAGAACCATATTCCATTGTTTGTGACGGAAAAGAACCATGTTTTGTTGTTTGTGACAGATAAGAACCATACTCCATTGTTTGTGACAGATAAGAACCATGTTCCATTGTTTGTTCCATTGTTTATGACAGATAAGAACCATGTTCCATTGTTTGTGACAGATAAGAACCATGTTCCATTGTTTGTGACAGATAAGAACCATGTTCCATTGTTTGTGACAGATAAGAACCATGTTCCATTGTTTGTGACGGAAAAGAACCATGTTTTGTTGTTTGTGACAGATAAGAACCATGTTCCATTGTTTGTGACAGATAAGAACCATGTTCCATTGTTTGTGACAGATAAGAACCATGTTCCATTGTTTGTGACAGATAAGAACCATGTTCCATTGTTTGTGACAGATAAGAACCATGTTCCATTGTTTGTGACAGATAAGAACCATACTCCATTGTTTGTGACGGATAAGAACCATGTTCCATTGTTTGTGACGGAAAAGAACCATGTTTTGTTGTTTGTGACAGATAAGAACCATGTTCCATTGTTTGTGACAGATAAGAACCATGTTCCATTGTTTGTGACGGAAAAGAACCATGTTTTGTTGTTTGTGACAGATAAGAACCATGTTCCATTGTTTGTGACGGAAAAGAACCATGTTTTGTTGTTTGTGACAGATAAGAACCATACTCCATTGTTTGTGACAGATAAGAACCATGTTCCATTGTTTGTGACAGATAAGAACCATGTTCCATTGTTTGTGACAGATAAGAACCATACTCCATTGTTTGTGACAGATAAGAACCATACTCCATTGTTTGTGACAGATAAGAACCATGCTCCATTGTTTGTGACAGATAAGAACCATGTTCCATTGTTTGTGACAGATAAGAACCATGTTCCATTGTTTGTGACAGATAAGAACCATGTTCCATTGTTTGTGACAGATAAGAACCATGCTCCATTGTTTGTGACAGATAAGAACCATGTTCCATTGTTTGTGACAGATAAGAACCATGTTCCATTGTTTGTGACAGATAAGAACCATGTTCCATTGTTTGTGACGGAAAAGAACCATGTTTTGTTGTTTGTGACAGATAAGAACCATGTTCCATTGTTTGTGACAGATAAGAACCACACTCCATTGTTTGTGACAGATAAGAACCATGCTCCATTGTTTGTGACAGATAAGAACCATGTTCCATTGTTTGTGACGGAAAAGAACCATGTTTTGTTGTTTGTGACAGATAAGAACCATGTTCCATTGTTTGTGACAGATAAGAACCATGTTCCATTGTTTGTGACAGATAAGAACCATACTCCATTGTTTGTGACAGATAAGAACCATGTTCCATTGTTTGTGACAGATAAGAACCATATTCCATTGTTTGTGACGGAAAAGAACCATGTTTTGTTGTTTGTGACAGATAAGAACCATACTCCATTGTTTGTGACAGATAAGAACCATGTTCCATTGTTTGTGACGGATAAGAACCATGTTCCATTGTTTGTGACGGATAAGAACCATGTTCCATTGTTTGTGACGGAAAAGAACCATGTTTTGTTGTTTGTGACAGATAAGAACCATGTTCCATTGTTTGTGACAGATAAGAACCATATATATATATATATAAGAACCATGTTCCATTGTTTGTGACGGAAAAGAACCATGTTTTGTTGTTTGTGACAGATAAGAACCATGTTCCATTGTTTGTGACAGATAAGAACCATGTTCCATTGTTTGTGACAGATAAGAACCATGTTCCATTGTTTGTGACGGAAAAGAACCATGTTTTGTTGTTTGTGACAGATAAGAACCATGTTCCATTGTTTGTGACAGATAAGAACCATGTTCCATTGTTTGTGACAGATAAGAACCATGTTCCATTGTTTGTGACAGATAAGAACCATGTTCCATTGTTTGTGACAGATAAGAACCATACTCCATTGTTTGTGACGGAAAAGAACCATGTTTTGTTGTTTGTGACACATAAGAACCATACTCCATTGTTTGTGACGGAAAAGAACCATGTTCCATTGTTTGTGACAGATAAGAACCATGTTCCATTGTCTGTGACAGATAAGAACCATGCTCCGGTGAAGCGACATCATTCAGCTGGGGACATGCTAGACGGAACGTTTGATCTTGACTCGCCGCCTGATAATGAAAAACATGAGAGACCTAAATCGGAAGGTCATACGTATCTACGGCAGTTTTCTCCAAAACGAACATCAAGTTACGGAGTATGTATTGTATTTTGTATATATATATATATAAGTTACAAATGATCACACTAGTGTACATTAATTAGACATAGAAATTATTATCATCAAATTTGTCACTCCATATCAAATATAGCCAATCAGTTTCAGAAAAAATACCAATATTTATTAGCCAGTAAGCCTCTGCATTGAAATAAGCAAACCAATGTATTGGTGTTCAGTAAAGTTGCAAATCCAATGTTGTATCTTTGTCCTATGATAAGCCCACTCTTTATCTTTGTTTAATATGTTTGACCCCTGAAGTTAATTGTCCTGTAATAAGCCCACCCCTTGTCTTTGTGTTATGTGTTTGACCCTGGGTTTTATTGTCCTGTAATAAGCCCACCCCTTGTCTTTGTGTTATGTGTTTGACCCTGGGTTTTATTGTCCTGTAATAAGCCCACCCCTTGTCTTTGTGTTATGTGTTTGACCCCTTTGCTTCATGATTATGTTTTAAGGGGAATTCACCATTTGGGAAAGCTGATTCTTATCAGAAGTTGGAACAGCTTGGAGAAGGAAGCTATGCAACTGTGTATAAAGGCTTCAGTAGGTAAGCTAAAGATGGATGGTAAGTTCTGTGATTTCATAATGTTCCCCGACAATTTTCAGGGGAGCATCTAGTCCCCTCCTTGTCTCTTTACCAATGTTAATGTTACACTTCACAAAGAAATATTAGTAAATTTACGCTATCTTTTCTGGGCCCTTAATTCAACACAACCAATCACGTGAACTTAATACATGTGATATAAGATCACCTTGGTGAGACACCGTGTCGTGCATCAAAAGTAGGTCACTCTGACCTAGATTTTGACCTTTGACCTACATCAGACAAAAAAATGTTTATTATATAGGTGGTATACAGCTTTAAATGCTTTTCTTTGTCATCCGTTTCAACTGAATTTTTGTGTCAGTATCATTATAAGCAAGTTAAGGCCATACTGGATAGAAAAAGTTTTACAACTAGAAAGGCTTGCCTGTGTTTTTGCTAATTGTCAAAAAGGATCAAATTAACATATTGACTGTTTATGATGTTTCTCCTTGAAATACATGGCACTTGATATAGATATATTTTGTGACAGTATTCTAGGATTGGCTTATACAATGTGATATTCTGCCAACTACTGGGTAGATTTAAGACTTTATCAAAATGAGCTGATGATTTGTGAAAGGTATTTTGGTATCTTGGGTGTGTGCTAGACAGGTGTTACTCAGAGATGTGAACTTTTAATTAGTTGAAATGTTTCCATTCCAGTTTAACTAATCAGATTGTTGCTCTGAAAGAAATCCGATTACAAGCTGAGGAGGGAGCTCCGTTTACTGCCATCAGGGAAGGTTAGTGTTTACCTGTGATTGTATTCCTTTAAACGACTGAGTATTTACAGGTAGCTCTTGACCAAGGATAATTACCTGTTAACGACTGAATGTTTACAGGTAGCTCTTGACCGAGGATAGTAACCTGTAAACAGCTGAGTGTTTACAGGTAGCTGTTGACCTGGGATGTTCACATTTAAATTACTTTCTCTTGATAATCAAATGACCCACTGTCATATTTAACATACAGCATGCTGGAGTGGAGTTTGCTCAAATTGTTCAAATGATTGACCTTGACCTTTTTCAAGGTCAATGAAGTCAAATGTGTTAAATCATCAAGTAGCCAAAAGTTCACAAAAGTTAACATATAACAATATTTACTTTCTTTCTGTAATGAAATAATTTCAAGTCTTTATGACCTTGACTTGATTAAAATTATTCAAGCAACTTCTTATTATAACCAAAAAACCCAAAGTCATAATGCTGTGGCTGTATTTGTGACATTGGCTTTAAGTAATTTCTTTAAAAGCTGCAGAATATGTGATCGATACAGGCCCTTTTAGCCTCTTGTTTCTTGTACACACAATAAATCTGAGACATGTTTGACCTGTAACAATATACTTTGATATTTTATTTTCAGCCTCACTTCTGAAGGGCCTAAAGCATGCTAACATTGTCACACTACATGACATCATACACACCAAAGAAACGTTAACGTTCGTGTTTGAGTTTGTTGTAAGTATCATTTACTTACCATTACAGATTTTTTTTTTTCATAAACTTAGTTTCTGTATAAAGGTGATGCAGTCAGAAGACATTTTAATTTCGTTCTCCTTGATTTATTTAAATCTGTTTAAATTAAAATGTTAAATCAGGTAATTTGACACTGACCCAATAGTATTCATAGTCTGGTGAATGCTGTTTCTTCTGTCACTAGACACGTGCAGCAAACATTTCACGAAATGTGTTTGCTTACTGAAAGTTTCTTGTGATTGGTTGTTAATGTTTATAGATGCAAGAGATACTCATTTTTAACTTTTGATATGACATTTTGTGTTTTTATTTTTCAGCACACAGACCTCAGTCAGTACCTGGAGAAACACCCAGGAGGTCTCAACGCTTTTAATGTAAAGGTAGGTACCTTGTTATAGTTAGATGTTTTTTTTACCAACACCCCCCCCCCCACCCCCACCCCCACCCACCCTTCCACTCTCACTCTCTTAAGGGAGGTGTAGTGTTACAGTTTGTCATGCAATACCATCACACCATCAACTTCTATATTTAACATATATTTGCTATCACAATGAGCCATATATGGTATCAATGACTTGTATATGGTATCAGTGACCTATATTTGGTATCAGTGACCTATATTTGGTATCACCACAGTGACCTATATTTGGTATCAGTAACTTATATTTGGTATCACTGACCTATATTTGGTATCAGTGACCTATATTTGGTATCACCACAGTGACCTATAAATGATATCAGTGACATAGATTTGGTATCACTATGATGTATATATTGGTATCACAGTGACCAACATTTATTGTGACTGACTTGTATATGATGTAACAATGACTTATAATTGTTTCTGTTGTCACAGCTCCTGTTGTTCCAGTTACTTCGAGGGCTGGCTTACTGTCATCAGCGCAGAATTCTCCATAGGTCAGTAGACTGGACAGTTAATGACCTCGTGTTTCAATAAATCAAAGGATCTGTTTTCAGGATGTGGAATTTCCCCAATATTTGTCATTGTACATAAAAAAAATTATGAAAAATTTCTCGATTCTATTCAGATTATAAGAAAAATGAGGATGAGATTGATTGCATGATACTTGGTCTTTTTAATGGTATTACATAGATTTCTAGTTTGTAGTGTGAATCATGACAAAACACTGTCCCAAACAGGGATTGAGAATCTTTAATCTGTAGTGATTATTTTATCAGGATTCATACTTTGCTGATATTTCTATAATAAATTTTGAAGTAAAGCTGTGGTAGAATATATGAAGCTTGCTGTGACCACAACCTCATTTGGTCTTAGGTGTTGTTGATAATTAGTCCTAAACAGACACAAAAGACAGCTATTAAGGGGAGACAACCTCTAACAATGAATTAACTTTTACTAGAGGTCAAAAGTTAAGACTGTGTTACATGATAATTAACACGTAGGAATAGACCATCTGGATGGAGTTCTAATAAATCAGGTCTGACCTCATTATCACTTAAACTTGATCTTATTATCATTTCAGAGATTTAAAACCACAAAACTTGCTTATTCATGAAACTGGCGAACTGAAACTGGCTGACTTTGGTGAGTATTTTCTTACTCTAATACATCACTATTATATTACCTCATAACGTGTTGATATATCCTTAATTTCCTGTGGAAAAGTCGACATAATTGATAACTCACTGTTTATATGTAATACATGTTAATTTATCTCTCATTTCATCTGACAAAGTTCACAGGGATGGACTGAATGTAGTTGTATTTATGCTGTGGATGTTTATCATTGACTGAAAACAACAGATGAAATATGTTGTTATAGCCTGGAATGATAAAAACCTTATTAATGAATAAGTAATTAATGATATATCATTATAAGTATTATTCTCATATTCTTATTATTATAAGTATTATTTTGTACATCGCTGATAGATTGAAGTAAATTTTATTTAAAACCTCTCAGCTTTGTATCTGTGTTTGATTTTGTGACGAAACATTCTCTTTTCTACAGGGTTGGCAAGAGCGAAGTCCATTCCAAGTCACACTTACTCCCACGAAGTAGTGACTCTATGGTACCGGCCTCCGGATGTTCTACTTGGCTCCACAAATTACTCCACTTCACTGGACATGTGGTCAGTACACTATACAGTAGCTACATTACATCTCTCCTGTACCTTAGGGTATCATATAGACATTTCTCTGATCGATTTTGATGTAATATTCATATATACATTGATGAACACACTTTTGAGCAAACATATGTGTACCTGGTTAATTCCCAGACTTCTGGAGGAAAGTCGGGCATGTGAAGAAAAATTGCTTGTCTGAGTTTTGATAGTTAACCTAGGGATCTTTATGATTTTTAGGTCATCTGGACCCGAAGGGTCCGATGACCTATAGTCATCATGCTTCGTCCGTCGTCGTCCGCCGTGCGCCGTGCGCCGTCCGTAAACTTTTCATTCAAACGACTTCTTCTCAAATACTAGAAGGTCTAGGGGGCTAATACTTGGCACAGAGGATACTGGCATGGAGCTCTACCAAGTTTGTTCAAATGAATGACCTTGACCCACTTTAAAGGTCACAGGGGTCAAATATGTCAAAATCTTTAAATAACTTCTTCTCAAATACTAAAAGGCCTAGGTGGCTAATACTTGGCCCATAGCATGCTGGCATGGAGCCCTACAAAGTTTGTTCAAATGAATGACCTTGGCCCACTTTCAAGGTAACAGTATTAAAATATCAAAGGACTTCATCTCAATAAGCAAAAAATCCGATATTGGGTCTGTAGCATGCTGGGAGGAAAGGCTACCAAGTTTATTCAAATGAATAACCTCAACCCACTTTCAAGGTGTCAAATATTATATATCTTTAAACAATTCTCATTAACCAAAAGGCTCAGAGTTTTTGGGCCTGTGACACAATTTTTTATGAATTTTTTTTAAAGGTCACAGGGGTCAAATTTAAAATCTTTAAACAACTTCTTCTCAATAACCAAAAGGCTCAGATTGCTGATATTGTGCCTGTGGCATGCCCGGATGAAGTGCTATCAAGTTTGTTTAAATGAATGACCTTGAACAACTTTCAAGGTCACAGGGGTCAAATATGTCAAAATCTTTTAATAACTTCTTCTCAAATACTAGAAGGCCTAGGGGGCTAATACTTGGCCCATAGCATGCTGGCATGGAGCCCTACAAAGTTTGTTCAAATGAATGACCTTGGCCCACTTTCAAGGTCACAGGGGAAGGATAAAATATACAAAGGACTTCATCTCAATAAGCAAAAGTCTATGAGTGCCGATATTGGGTCTGTAGCATGCTGGGAGGAAAGGCTACCAAGTTTATTCAAATGAATGACCTCAACCCACTTTCAAGGTCACAGGGGTCAAATATGTTAAAATATACCAACGACTTCTTCTCAACAAGCAAAAGTCCATGAGTGCTGATATTGGGCCTGTAAGATGCTTGGAGGAGAGGCTACCAAGTTTGTTCAAATGAATGACCTCAACCCACTTTCTAGGTTTGGCTTGCTTTTTGTCAGATGACCGTTAAGGCCCATGGGCCTCTTGTTTATTTGTCCTGCACTAAACATTTCTTACTCGTGGCCTCGACATTTGTGCAAGGGGAGATAACTAAGGCGACTCCCATAACTATTCAATTTTTTAGGAGTTCATGAAAAGAAAACCATTTAACAGTATTTTCCTGCTTTTTAGCAAAAATCCTTCAGCGTGTCTTATTTACCATTCTGTATTATATATTTTAAATGATTATATTTTTTTCTAACAATTTTTTATTTTTTTTTTGACAATTTTCCATCTGTACAGGGGTGTGGGTTGTATATTCACGGAGATGATATCTGGCATGGCTACCTTCCCTGGTATGAAGGACTCAGTGGACCAGCTAGACAAGATATTCAGGGTAAAAATGATTGCACAGTAATTAATTTTCTTTTTGAAAATATTTATTGAAAGATTTATCATGAAAAGTTATCATTTATATTCCAGACTGACGAGCAAATCAAAATAACACAACAAAAATCCCCGACATTTCTGTTGAGGTTGTGAGATAATAATCACAGTTCCGTTATACGTAAACCATGACTTCTCATTAAAGTCATTGAATGATTTTAGTTCTCTATAAACTATACAATGTCAGTAACCCCCCCCCCCCCCCCCCCCCCCCCACGTAACAACCTACCAGGGAACTTATATTGTCAACATGTATCAGAATTTTGTATTTTTTTGATGATATGAAGCCTAGCATACCTATGTCAATATACCTTTGGCTTTGTCAACTATTCTTCCCTGTCCACCATTTCTCACATTGGCTCTGATACTCATGACATATAGTAAAGGAGATAACTGTATATAGATAGGATATCAAAACTGTAGAACCACATTATCTCAAACCCCTCGAACCCCTCGAACCCCTCGAACCCTTTGAACCCCTCGAACCCTTTGAACCCCTTGAACCCTTTGAACCCCTTGAACCCTTTGAACCCCTCGAACCATGGGGAAAACTTTGAGATCATAGAATATATTAAATTTAAGTGATTATTTGAATATTTTAATTAAAGTAAGGCAGGGACCGATGAAACGCTTCAAATTAAACAGGGTCTTTGAGTTATACTCGTTTGAGATAACAAGGTTTTGACTGTGAAATCACCTTTCACTGACAATTAGGATTCATACCAAGACATGCAACAGGTCAGTGAACATGTATATATATAACTCTGGCTCAGTGGTATTAGTACTGGTTTACTTATGTTTTAATTACAGGCACTTGGGACACCGACTGACCAGGCCTGGGAGGGTGTTTCTAAGTATCCCAACTACGACCTCAGTAAGTGTATACTGCATGTATTCTGGATGTTTTCTCCATGTGATCTATGTTCTGTTCAAGAAAAGTTGTAAGAAATGGCAACTACAATCTGTTTCAAAAAATTCCTTTTCTGATTTTTTTCGATGATGGTTCTTATGCAAGAAATTTCTTGGGTTTTTTTTGACAATTATGAAATACATGTTTGTTTTTCCAGCATGCATGGTTTATAAATTCAAATCTGCTTTTTAGTGTATGTTAGTTTACCATAAACTTCAAAATAATATTTGATGATATACTACAGTCTGTTTCAGAAAAATTGGCACATAAAGCAATTCAATATACTGGTACAAATGATGTTTTAATGGTGACATCTATAATCTCTTTCAGAAAAGTTTGTGTTGTACCCAGTGCCCTGCCCCTTGGACACAGTCATCCCTAAACTGGGGTTCATTCCACATGCCACGTGTCTTGCCTCACAATTCCTACAGGTAAATTTGTTGCCATGGAAACGCCATTCAAAAATACATTACCAAGATGACATTGCAAAAATATTCTTTTCTGGAACTTTTCTTACATAGAACAAGGCTCGACTTCAATTTATAGAAATTTTGTCAATTTCTTCTGCTCTTAACATAGGCAGGTATTTAATGAAAGATGATAACTTGTTCATTGAGTATGATAACAACACTCTGATTTTTTATTTTTATTTCATTTTGACCCTTCATCTGTTTGTGTTGTATTTGATTGTTGTAGTTATTACTGAATATTTCTGATATTCACCCGGTATAATAAGTATGGTAAGCCTTCAGTCAGTCTGAAAAAATGTAAATAAGTATTGTAAATTAGAGTTTGAACTCTCCAAGTCAACATCACCCAAAGCCATGACCACATGTTTAAAAGATGCAAGCAAGGCAGAAAACTACAGATTGGTGAGGACAATGAGCTGTTAGGAATATTGAAAAGTGACTTTTATCATAATAATAATAAATAATCCTTTGAAACAAATGGCAGGATTTATTTTGTTCTTCATATTGTGATGAAGAAATTGTGTAAGCCCAAAAAAGGAAGTATTGGGTGTTTATTGATGGAAGTTAGCATTGAGAAATCAGTATGTAGAGTGTGGATTCAGACTTTTCGTTGATATGTGTGACTACGGATTGATGTTTATCAAAATATGTCTTTGAGGTTTACAATAATATATTTGATGTGATACATAGGTATATTCTTGGAGGGATCAGAGTGTGTAGTGAAACACCACAACTATTTCACAATACACTTGTTAACATCCTGCTTGTTATGCTGAGTTAGGGCCTCAATGTAGCATTTATAAAGTGACAGTAAAACGAGAGGAAAGAAATCGCATACATTGATTGGATCAATGCTAATCCGTGTATAATTTGACAGTATTAATTGGTCATGTCAGTTGTTTACAACCTGCTTCGCACCGAGTTTACTGTATGGTCAAGGTGAATAACGACCAAACGGAGTGATTATTGCAATGCACCTATTCCACTGACTGGAGGTTTACGAAATACACAGACTTGGCTCGGTACTCAAGTATGCTCGGCTTAGTACTCCCTACGACCTGTTTATCTTCAGCAGAGACAAACAGCACAGCCTAATTAAGGTCCAGAATAAGACAGGTATAAGTCGATCACGGTTTGAATGTATTTTCATCAAAGTTAATCTCTTTTGCAGATGCATCCATTACGGAGAATATCCGCTCAGAAAGCCATGCATTCAGAGTATTTTGCAGATCTTCCCCCAAAGATTTATGAACTTCCAGATGGTAGGTGATACTTTTATGATGTGAAAATCAAAGATCTTCTGTATATTGCTGTCATCCTGCTGTTTCATACTGTTTTCTTATTGGTTGAAAATTGTTAAGTTATATTCCGTATCTAAGCAGTGTTTGGAACTACGCTAAGTTACTGCCACTTTTCTGTCTGGTAAGAGCTATTCCAGTAAAACATCTACCTGACCCAAGAAATCTGATATAAATCACTCCTCTCCATGGCTTGGTGTCCTGTCTATTCCAGGTAAATTAACAATAAAAAAAAACAAAAATTAGGGATAGATATGTGTTCCTGGAATAGCCCCAAACAAAACTTGGAGTGAGATAGATGTTTTACTGGAATAACCCCAAACAAAACTTGGAGTGAGATAGATGTTTTACTGGAATAGTCCCTAAACAAAACTTGGGAGTGTGATAGATGTTTTACTGGAATAGCCCTAAACAAAACTTGGAGTGAGATAGATGTTTTACTGGAATAGCCCTAAACAAAACTTGGGAGTGTGATAGATGTTTTACTGGAATAACCCCAAACAAAACTTGGGAGTGAGATAGATGTTTTACTGGAATAACCCCAAACAAAACTTGGAGTGTGATAGATGTTTTACTGGAATAACCCCAAACAAAACTTGGAGTGAGATAGATGTTTTACTGGAATAGCCCTAAACAAAACTTGGAGTGAGATAGATGTTTTACTGGAATAACCCCAAACAAAACTTGGAGTGAGATAGATGTTTTACTGGAATAGCCCTAAACAAAACTTGGAGTGAGATAGATGTTTTACTGGAATAGCCCTAAACAAAACTTGGAGTGAGATAGATGTTTTACTGGAATAGCCCTAAACAAAACTTGGAGTGTGATAGATGTTTTACTGGAATAACCCCAAACAAAACTTGGAGTGAGATAGATGTTTTACTGGAATAGCCCTAAACAAAACTTGGAGTGAGATAGATGTTTTACTGGAATAGCCCTAAACAAAACTTGGAGTGTGATAGATGTTTTACTGGAATAACCCCAAACAAAACTTGGAGTGAGATAGATGTTTTACTGGAATAGCCCTAAACAAAACTTGGAGTGAGATAGATGTTTTACTGGAATAGCCCTAAACAAAACTTGGAGTGAGATAGATGTTTTACTGGAATAGCCCTAAACAAAACTTGGAGTTACAGTCCTTAACAAACCTGGAGTGAGATCGATGATTACTGGAATAGTGCCAAACAATAAATTGAATCCTAAGGACTTTATTCTGGTACATGCCTGAAGTTTCTGACAGTTTAAGTCTAAAGAAGTATGTTTATGTACGTATATTTATTCTTTAGGTTTGAATTGCTAGAACAATGATCAGGAGATATTGGAAACTTAAATTAAATCTCCTTACTTAGTAATAGGACTACATTGAACTTATTGTGTAGATAATTCCAATATGCCAATACTTTCGTGGTTACATGTGAGTTATAATGACAACTGCCATGCAAGCCAATACTTAATTAGTAAGCTAATTTTTCATATCAAATTAGTATCACATATCAATTATATGGTACAATGTAATATGAAATTTCATTTTTCAGGAACCTCATTCACAAAATGTCTTACAAAATGTATAATATACCATGTGCTATGCTTGGTTTTAAATTTATTTTATCTTAAATATACATTACACTTTAACATTTTTCAATGACCTATTTACTTTATTTCAGTGTCCTCTATTTTTAACATTCCGGGACTGAAGCTCTTACCAGAACTAGATGAACTTATTGCCCCGACCGTTTCTCCTAGCCGCCCTAGAGAACGGACCCGGATACGAACCACACTCAAAGTGTAAACTCACAAGGATATATATTACAAGGTACTACTGAAATCTGTTATTGTAAGGCCTTTACAAACCTTGCGATACTACATGTAATACTTCAGCACTGATCTTATGGTTTGATGGTAACAGAACGCTGATCATTTATCAAAATGTTTTCCTATATTTAAGGAAAAAAGTATATTACTGAAATTGAGTCTATTCGAGATTAATGTAGGCTTCTGTTTTGTGTTACAGGAGCGTGTGTGCTGACTAGGACGGGAGAACGAGCGACTATGTTGTTATATGCAAGAGGGTGGTCATTACTCTTTGTTGTTGTATAGACTGAAATTTACATTATCACCACTCATCGTCACATTCCTCCACCAGTATAGATGTTTGGAGGTGTAATTATGCTCATCGTCACATTCCTCCACCGATATAGATGTTTGGAGGTATTACGCTCATCGTCACATTCCTCCACCAATATAGATGTTTGGAGGTGTCATTGCTGGTACATTTTTCCAAAATATTCATTATTCTTCATCTGGCATCGTTTTGTGATTTCATCTTCACCAATCATCTCCAATCATTGCCATGACTTTACCTAATATGGTGGGGAGTTACTAAACCCCAATGTTTACGGTGAATTTGACCATGTCACTAATATGTGTTGTTGTATCGTGTCGGCTGGAGCTATCACAAGTTTATACAGTTTTTTTTTTGTTGGCAATATTTTGTAATCTTCACCCTCATTGGACGATTGTTTTGTTACCTGAATCCTCATTGGTTTGCTGATGGTCACCTGACTTGGAAGCAACTCAGTACTATGTGAAACATAGTCAATAGCATTTTGCTGACACTGAAAAATCTTTTCCATTTTATTACTACTCTTTGTTATTGAAAACAAATCAAGATGATTGATGATGACTTAAGGTTGTATGCTACCTTACTAAGATTAGTATCTCTTTCCCAAGAGATTGCACCATCAAACTTATCTGTGATAACAATTAAGACTTTCCAACAGTCAAGAATTTTAGAATGTTCTAGAGAAACTTTTCTGTTATCATACAATATATATCCATTTATTTTTTGGCATTTTGAATGATCTTTAAGAGTTGGAGGAAGATGAGAATATAACAATAAATAAAAAGAAAAACAAAAAAAAAATTTCTCCGGAACGATAGATTAGATTAATGTTATTTCCGTAGACTCGGTTTGGATGGAAAGAGGGGTGGGGTGTAGGGCAACAATTACTTCGGACAAAAAGTCACGGATGGGCTTTTTTCAGTGAATAGTGGAATAATACTTGTTGATATTTCTTGTGAATAGTATTAGATGTGGGAGGGGTCTGTTTTTCACAGATATGGGCTTATTGCTTGCAGTAATATAAGGGAGACAATTTCAGATTAACTCTGTAGTAAGGTAGCATTATCCTCAATAAATCTACAGAATTGATGAGAGTAATTTGCTTTGGGCTACTGAATTAATCTCCTAGTTTGCCTATTTGGAGAAAGTGATGGGTAGGATTATGTTTACACCCATTGTCAACACCAACCACAGTTCTAGTGCATGTATTTGATGTCTGTATCAATTATTTGTACCAGAAAGTGAAGTGGATTTAGCATGAAGATTTCCGATGGGTCTTAACATTGATGCTGTACAGTCAAAAGAACTTCAACTAACAAAATCAATGTTGTATAAATGATGGGACTCGGCCATCTGGGGCAGGGTTGAAAATTGGAAAGATAGGAAATTTGCTAACATCAGACATCTGACTCCAGAGATGTGTAGGTAAAGGTGAGAAATGTAAGTTCTTAAAAATTCTTCTCGCCTACAAGGATGGAGTCCAAAGTTGGTGTGAAGCAATTTTTATGATTGATGAATCTGATTTCTAATTGACCAAACAATTGAAACCCAATAGAGAAATTATTTGTCATATTTGAAATTCTTTATGTAGACAGGTAAGCAATGCATACCCCTTAGGCCTCATGGCCTCATGGCCTATTCTTGAAATAGGCAAGCTAATCCCGCCCCCAACCTCTGCCCCTCCCCGCCACTCCCTCCATTTTATTACAAAGATGTAATACATTTATCAGAAACAATGTGTACTATTTAAGTTGAAAGAGTGAAATCAAATGACGGAGAAATCAAACGTAACTAGATAAAATGAATTGTAGTTGTTTAGGGTTTTTATTTTTTTAATTTGTCACATTGATATGACGATTCTAAAAAAAAATCTCATTGATTTTAACTAACAGAATGATACATACTTTCGTTTCGTAAGTAATGGATTATTATAAGGTTGTCTTCATATTAGTTGTTATTAACAAGTTTTCGATCTGCTACAACGTGTAATTTTTTTTTACATTGACACTTCAGTTATATGTGACAATTGTGCTCATGTTGTACAATGCCTTGTTGCCTTTCATGGTGGACGATTTTCACAAGAAACTCTAAATGGTTATACACTCACCATAGCAACAGTATCCAGGTACAATTAACAATGGGATTTGTCCCTTTATATAGTAACCATGGAAACTATCCCTAGATACCATTTTACTGGTGACCACAGTAACCATGGTAATTATCCTTAGGTACTGTTGCTAAGGTTACTTTCCCTGTTGATGGTAACCATGGAAACGATATAACTTAGTCATGACATGAGGTCCTAGTCAGATTTTTCGCTGTCTTTGTATCAGTTGATTTTTAGCTGCTGATAGCGTTTTTGCGTCAATTTTGTTTTTCGTGCTTGATAGATCCTTTATTATTAGTGCTCTGCTGTGATTTTTTTTACTTAAAGTGGCAATATTTTTCCTTACCTTCAGTATTGTGTACAGTTTATATATAATTTGTGATAACATTAGACCTGTATGTATATATATATATATAGCAAAAGACCATTATGAATCAAACCAGAAATGTTTGTATCCCGTCTTTTATGTATTTTTAGCATAACGAAAACCAGTGTATTTTATATCTCTGTAAATCCATCTACTAGTCTCTGTAGCTGCGCTTTACATGAAATTGATTCTATATAGTCATTGAAAAAAGAAAAACCAAACAAATAGTCTCATGATTTAGGTTCTAAAATTATATGTTTTTATTACCAGAGGTATATCTGCTTTTCTGGTGTTACTCTCACATGTTTATTCATATCTTAAATCAGTCTGACACTTTATTGTTACACATTTCAGAAAATGTTTTATACAACAATATGTTGCAGGAAATATCTAAATAGTTGTGTGATTATTCTAAATGAAATTGTTCAATTTTATATACATTTTGATAAGCCTATTTAAGATAGAGTCAATATTTCAGAGTGTTTTTGCCAGAAATTAACTGAAATTGATCTACATTAATATGAAATTACATGAATATTTGGCATTATGAATATATTGCTTTCATAAGTTTACAAAGTGAAAACCTGTATACTGTGAGGGGTGTTTTTAAGATATTTTTATTTTTTATTTTTTTTTTTTTTTTTTTTTTTTAAAAAAGAATTAATTCACTCAAAATAGATATTTTGAGAATAAAACCAATAGAATCAATTGTTCCATTGTGAAAAATAAGTTTTATTGTCAGGTTAGGGGTTAAATTCTATAAAATGACCCCTCCCTGATAAAAGCACTGAAATCAACATTACACAGATATCAATATAAATACATTCTGATGTGAGAAACTCTATTTTCTTTAAAATGTCGTTTTATTAAAAAAAAAAAAATGAGTGCAGGGAAATAGAACAATTAGTGTGAGAATGATTTTTTAGTACAAATGGACAGGGGTGTTTTATTATAATCTCACTGTTTTGTTTTTTTTTTTTTTTTGTTGTTAAAACGCTTTTATTTGGACAAAAATGTCTAAATATCTGCACCAATCATTTTTGTCTTCCATGCCATTGGCTATTGTTTATTGTCATCAAGTGTAAAGATTTGTTAACCGATTATGTGACAACCAAGCATCGATTTTATTCCAAGATACACCTGGGTTTGAGAAACAAGTTATTGGTTGTTAACAGTATAGGAGAGACAGTTTTATATCTGTAAAGATAGCTTCTGTACAACCTCTAGACTTGCTTAAGCCCAGAATATTGCGGATACTGCCTCTGTTAGCATGTTGCTTCCATTGATTTTATTTTGTGCCATAAATCATGCATAATATGACAATAATGTCAATCTCTTTATTCCATTGTTGTTATGTTAAAGTATTTGTTAGGATTTAGATTTAAGCTTTGTGTCGTTGTGCCACATATGGTACCTGAGGGAAGGTACCTAATAAAGCAGTCACTGAATGTATATGTATGAGATTGGGTTAGCACAGAATAAACTGGGCTTAACACTTTGTTGGGAGTGGGGCTAAGTCTGAGCATGGACTTATTGCTGAGAGTGGGCTATCAATGAGTATTGACTTATTGCTGAGAGTGGGCTATCAATGAGTATTGACTTATTGCTGAGAGTGGGCTATCAGTGAGTTTTGACTTATTGCTGAGAGTGGGCTGTCACTGAGTATTGACTTATTGCTGAGTGTGGACTATCATTGAGCATGGACTTATTCCTGAGAGTTGGGCTATCACCGAGCATGGACTAATTGCTGAGTGTGGTGCTATCACTCAGCATTGACTGGTGTGAGTAAACCAAACACTCAGTGTGGACTTATTGCTGAGAATGATGCTATCTCTGAGCATGGACTTATTGCTAAGAGTGGGGCTATCTCTCAGCATTGACTGATGAGAGTGACATGAACACTCAGCATGGACTTTTTGCTAAGAGTGGTGTTACCTCTCAGCATTGACTGATGGGAGCGAGTCGAACACTCAGTGTGGACTTATTGCTAAGAGTGGTGTTACCTCTTAGCATTGACTGATGGGAGCGAGTCAAACACTCAGTGTGGACTTAACTGCTAAGAAAAGACCTTCTAGTGGTAAGATAAAGATAATAAAAATGAAATATGTATGACTTTAAACCATATGGAGGTACAATTTGGAAGCACACAGATATCACCCAACTGTTTATACTGGTTTTTAACAAGCTAGTCAAGCTAGTTACAAAGTTATACAGGGACATACAAGTCAAAGAAATTTTCATCTGATGATATACTAAAATTTATCATTTGTTGGTATAAATAGAGGAAGGAAATTTCATCATTGTGATATCATTGTACATCATCTCACCAACTCCTGTGTATATCTTCAAGGTAAAGTTTATTTACTAAAACAATGTATTATGTGTTTTATTAAATCCAACTGTATAGATCTGACCATGCCTTGTTATCACATCGCTACGTTGATGTATTTTCTATATATCTATTGTAACAAACCTGAGTTCTCTTTGTAACCAGTTTTAAGTCTGATCCAGTTTTATGAAAGTTTGTCACCTTAAAAAGTGGAAAGTGTACAAAAGCTGTTAAACCATGTATAACACATTTGATACCAGAGTTCAAAGGTTATGGGTCATAAGCCATGTGTTACATCTCCAATTTATCTAGAGTTGTCTGCCCCTGATTTGTACAACAACCGAGATTAGATTATAGCAAATTAAAGTCATTAACATACTGAGAAAAGTTTATTATAAGTAAGTTTTTTGTAGAGCTGTTTCAGAATTCTTTTCAGTAAGCTTTGTAGTCACAGAATTCATTTTCAGTTCACTTTGTAAATTTTATATGAGCTCACACTAGTAAGCTTTTTCTTATCATTTACAACTTTTATTCAAAATGCTTTGTTTTATTAGGTATATCTAAAACCTGTAAAATCTTGTTTGACATTTCATTAGAGTTCAATATCAAGGTCATATTTGAGATGAAACCTTCCAAGATTTTTCACATTTTATTTTTTCTGAAACTGTTTTTAGATGCTTTTAACATTAAAAATTAAATTTAGGAGAAAAGTGGCCTAGACAACACAACATGACTAATGAAATTTATTGCATTAAAATGTACCATGATTATGGAATACTTATAATGGGTTAATTCCTGCTTTGTTAGAAAATGTTTAGGGAAATATATAGTTCATGTAGTACAATGTTAGTGAGAGATGTGATGGGAAAATAAAACTGATCCAATTTCATTGATTTGTCTTGTTGTAGTGGTGGACAGAGAAATGACACATATCTTATATTATACCTTCACCATGTCACACTCATAAGATGTTGACAGTAAAAACCCTTACTCAACATTGTAGATGCCACGAATAGATCTTTTATGAATTACTTATTTCACACTTGAAATACAGATCAGAAATCCCTGAATATTTCATAAGAATTTTATTCACAATAACCATGATGATCCTTTAACATGGAATTTAATTAGAACTGCCATTGCAATAATAAAAGCACACAAAATAATGAACAAAGTCTGCCTTTATAGACTAAACTGTGTTTAAAATGTTAATAGTGATCACTAAAGCAAAGATGATAAGGTTCAGTTACAAAAAAATACAACCCCTTACAACAGGCTATTACCTCCCCTTACAACAGGTTATTACCTCCCCTTACAACAGGCTATTACCTCCCCTTATAACAGGCTATTATCTCCCCTTACAACAGGTTATTACCTCCCCTTACAACAAACTATTCTCTCCTCTTGGCACAGACTATCACCTTCCATTACAACTGGCTATAACCTACTCTTACAAGAGGCTAGTCATAAGACTAGCTATAACCTCCCCTTAAGACTGGTCATAACCTCCCATCACAACAAGTTATTTCCTCCCCTTAAAACTGACTATTCTCTTCTCTTACTACAGGCTATCACATGGCCTTACAGCAAGGGATTACCTTCCCTTACAACAGGCTAATCTCCCCTTACTACAGGCTATAACCTCCCCTTACCACAGGCTATAGCCTCACCTTACTACAGGCTATAACCTCCCATTACTACAGGCTATAACCTCCCTACAGACAGGCTATAACCTCCCCTTACTACAGGCTATAACCTCCCATTACTACAGTCTATAACCTACCTTTACTACAGACTATAACCTCCCAACAGACAGGCTATAACTCCCCTTACTACAGGCAATAACCTCCCTACAGACAGGCTATAACCTCCCCTTACTACAGGCTAATCTCCACTTACTACAGGCTATAACCTCCCCTTACTACAGACTATAACTTCCCCTTACTACAGGCTATAACCTCCCTACAGACAGGCTATAACCTGCCCTTACTACAGGCTATAACCTCCCATTACTACAGTCTATAACCTACCCTTACTACAGGTTATAACCTCCCAACAGACAGGCTATAACCTCCCCTTACTACAGGCTATAACCTCCCTACAGACAGGCTATAACCTCCCCTTACTACAGGCTATAACCTCCCTACAGACAGGCTATAACCTCCCCTTACTACAGGCTATTAACTCCCTACAGACAGGCTATAACCTCCCATTCAGACTGGCTATAACTTCCCTTAAAACAGGCAATTACCTCCCTAGCCCCAATTGCTTAAAGCTTGGTTAGAGCTAACCAATGGTTAGCGAAACATTTTAATTTTTGTCACTGAAAATACATTGGTATTCAAAGCAAAATTGATACTCAAAAAATATCAATCTGAACTGTATTAACAAAGCTACAGCTGCAAAATGTCACACAATCTCCTCATGTTGTTTGATTTATCTTTAGAATATTTCATTAACCACTGGTAAACTCTTACCCAGCTCTGAGCAACTGGAGCCTGCTGTAAACTCAGATGTAAACATTTATTGTGTTAGAGAAATATAGATTACAAGAGACCTGTGAGAGATCTTAGTTGGATCATTTCCCTTTCTTCCATGCTTTCACATGCTAAAAACCAAATAATCACAACTAGGGACCCAGCAAACCCTGCATCGCAAATTCGAAAATGATCCGTCATGAATTTTTTAAGATAAAGTGATAACCAACTACAAATATCGTAATCCCAGATGGCCTCCTGTGCCTTTTGTTACCCTGATTTACCCCATAATTGACAATGTGTAACTACTGACTATGGGGAAGTTACAAAATGAAATTTGAGAATGATCTATCCAGTACTCCCCAAGAAATATAAATAAACTTCAACTTTTAAAATCCTATATGGCTGCCTGTTGGCCACTTTGATGAATCCTGAAATTGAACATGTGAAACAAGGGATCAATTGGAACCCTTATCTTAAATTTTAAAATAATTTCGATAATAAGAATTAGTTTTAAAGAAACGGACAGATTATAGACTACAGCCAATTCTAACAGTCCACCATCCATTGATGGTCAAATATATGTATAAGATATGTTGCCCACAGTGTGGTATAATCTGCTCTTCCGTTCGGTGTCCATGTATACTTATACAGACTTTGGCAAGATATAGACGTATTAAACGAAATACAGGATACATCAAAAACGAAACATAATATACAGTATAGTTAAATAAAATACAGAATACATTAAAAACATCAAATAATATACAACATAATTAAAATATTTACTAAAATTTGTAAAATAGATAATAATGTGATACAAATGAAGCACCAAATAAATACTATAACAAGAGGTCCATTAGGCCTGTATCGCTCACAAAGTTTGATTTTCTCCTACTTCCAACACCTACTGGACAATGACCTGGGCCCGTATTCATAAAACCATTCTCATGCTCAAGCATAGATTTTGTGCTCAAGCAAACTTTTTTATAATTAACCTAAATAATATAAAATAATACAAATGTCAAATTTAAACCTTGAATATAGCTTTGACTTGAAGTCCTTTCAAAATTGTTCATAAAACTTTGGCAAAATCAGTCTTATTTATTTATCTTTTACTTAAACAAGACATAAGGATTGAGCACAAAATTCATGCTTGAGCATGACAACGGTTTCATGAATACGGGCCCAGAACATTTAAATGAATTATTTCACAATTCAGAACTGAGAATTTTAGCAATAAAAGATAAGAAATGATATATGAATTTTGTATTTTAATGTAGAACATTGATATCCAGATCATTATAGGTCCTCAATTCATTGTTTGGTTCTACTGCATCTAAATCTGAATTTGTATGCTATACTGGGTCTTTTGTACAATCTTCAACATTGTACTTCATATGATTTCCAGATGTTCTGGACAAGTATGTAGTCAGGGGATGGAAAAGTTGACAACGGACATCTTGTCATGGCTTCAGCTCATTTCAGGCAAGTAAAACTAGAAGTCTACAGAAAAATAATCAGACAGATGATTTAAAAATCAGAATATGTAAAAAGATTTGAACAGAAGTCTAATCAATTGTGTAAACCTCATGGTGTTACAATTCTATAGATATTAGCCATAATAAAAGCATTGCACTAAGATTACAATCAATGACCTGTTCCAGAAAAGCCATGGTGTCATTTCTGTGTACTTATCAATAAAACGTAACTAAAATAAAATATAAATATGAAAGTAACATCAAATGAAAACTTGTTAATTTTGATATTGTAAAGGTTAGTGACTGGGACTAAGAGTGAGATCACTGGTATAAAATTAACCCTGTAGAGCTATAATAAATGGATTACCTCCCTTGGTAATGAATTACCTCCCTTATTACAGCTCTATCACTGGAATGCATCAGTCAAATGCAAACAGACCAGTTTATAAACAGTTTGAATGTAACAATTCAGACATAAATCAGGGTGGACAAGACTCTAAAGGCTTTTTGTCAAGACTCATCTGAATTCAAGAGAAGGAGTTATAAATCACAAAGGGAGGTAATCCTGAACAAGGAAAACATAAGGCTATCACATCTGTCTTGAATTTCATGTTTAATGTATTCTTTTCTCCAAATACTTGACTGAATTCTATGACAAACTCTTGGGTAGTGCTATGTTGTCAAATCCTCAATATATATTTTGATACACACCAACAAAAAAAAGTCTAGTCTCCTTTTATCAATCAATAGACATATAGAATATCTGTATCCAGGTACTATAATCTAACAATATAACCCTATAGGGTATAATTCATAATTATAATAAATCTCTCACTTTTCTGTATAATATCATCACTTTTCTATAAATAGCTGTGGGTACGAAATAATAAATATAGTTTCTATGATATAATCTTATATCGGTATATCTAAATAGACAGGAAGTCAGGTACATCTACATAGACAGGAAATAAGTCATATCTAAACAGACAGGAAGTAAGGTATATCTATATATACAGAAAGTAAGGTTTATATATACTGGCAGGAAGTATGATATATCTAGATAGACTGAAAGTAAGGTATATTTAAATAGACAGGAAATAAGGCATATATATAAACAGACAGGAAGTAAGGTATATCTTAACAGACAGGAAGTAAGGTATATCCTTACAGACAGGAAGTAAGGTATATCTTAACAGACAGGAACTAAGGTATATCTGAACAAACAGGAAGTAAGGTATATTTAAACTGACAGGAAATAAGGTATATCTAAACTGACAGGAAGTAAGGTATATCTTAACAGACAGGAAGTTAGGTATATCTTAAAAGACAGGAAGTAAGGTATATCTTAACAGAGAGGAAGTAAGGTATATCTTAACAGACAAGGACAGAAATAAGGTATATCTATAAGACAGGAAGTAAGGAACAGACAGGAAGTAAGGTATATCTTAATAACAGACAGGTAGTAAGACAGGAAGTAAGGTATATTTAAATAGACAGGAAATAAGGCATATATATAAACAGACAGGAAGTAAGGTATATAACAGACAGGAAGATATATCTTAACAGACAGGAAGTAAGGTATATCTTAACAGACAGGAAGTAAGGTATATCCTAACAGACAGGAAGTAAGGTATATCTTAACAGACAGGAAGTAAGGTATATCTTAACAAACAGGAAGTAAGGTATATTTAAATAGACAGGAAGTAAGGTATATCTTAACAGACAAGAAGTAAGGTATATCTAAACAGATAGGAAGTAAGGTATATATAAACAGACAGGAAGTAAGGTATATATTTACTGGCAGGAAGTATGATATATCTAAACAAACAGGAAGTTAGGTATATTAAAAAAGACAGGAAGTAAGGTATATCAAAATAATGTAAAGGGTGTTTTTTTCAAGGGCTTTAACTGTTTTCTTCTTTCAGTGTTTAAAAGAAAATAATGAAACGAAAGGAATGCCTTAAAATCGTCTTTTTTAAAACGAACAGAGCAGTGTAACTATGATCATCAAGTCTGGTACTGTTGTGTACCTATCATCATCAAGTCTCGTACTGTTGTGTACCTATCATCATCAAGTCTCGTACTGTTGTGTACCTATCATCATCAAGTCTGGTACTGTTGTGTACCTATCATCATCAAGTCTCGTACTGTTGTGTACCTATCATCATCAAGTCTCGTACTGTTGTGTAGCTATCATCATCAAGTCTCGTACTGTTGTGTAGCTATCATCATCAAGTCTCGTACTGTTGTGTAGCTATCATCATCAAGTCTGGTACTGTTGTGTAGCTATCATCATCAAGTCTGGTATAGTTGTGTAGCTATCATCATCAAGTCTCGCACTGTTATGTAGCTATCACCATTCTGTGTGAATTATCTTATTAGCTATCTATATAGTAATTTTACACAACAATTGCCTTTCTTGAAAATAAATCTTTTTCTCATCAGTTAAGGGACTAATTTGTAGACCCTGTGGACCTTGCCATCGGAATGTTCAAACTACATGGCACACACACGCATGGAAAATCATTGTTAAGGAATAAAGTTGAAAAAATGCATAATAAAATATAGCATCAAAGGAAATGTGGAGACTAAGTAAAACACCCTAATTTTGTGTATAACCATTTGTAATGTTATGTTATAAGGAGCTGCTAGTGACCCAACCAAACAAAGGAAATGTGAAGTAAAACATCCTAATTTTGTGTATAACCATTTGTAATGTTATAAGGAGCTGCTAGTGACCCTACCAAATAAACCTTCATGAGGAATACAACAATGGTGCTGATATTGTAGGTTCCCTTCCAAATCTCTTTATCAATTGACAACAATTTTTAGGTAAAAATTGAATATGTTAATATTATTAATCTGGGTATGTTTCTACCATGGGTAAATGGGTGTACAACAATATCTGGAATGTCAATAGTGATGACCATGTGACCTTCCCATCTCTATGAGTTACTGGGATTTTAGTATGATACCCTATACTGGCAAACAGTATGGTGCCGTGGTCTGTTGAGAGATGTAATTAACCCTATACTGGCAAACAGTATGGTGCCGTGGTCTATGAGAGATGTAATTAACCCTATACTGGCAAACAGTATGGTGTCGTGGCCTGTGAGAGATGTAATTAACCCTATACTGGCAAACAGTATGGTGTCGTGGCCTGTGAGAGATGTAATTAACCCTATACTGGCAAACAGTATGGTGTCGTGGCCTGTGAGAGATGTAATTAACCCTGTGCTGGCAAACAGTATGGTGTCGTGGCCTGTGAGAGATGTAATTTACCCTGTACTGTGGAGTCGTGGCCTGTGAGAGATGTAATTTACCTTGTTCTAGCAAAGAACAGTATGGTGTCACAGCCTGTAGGGGATGGATTTACACTATACCGACAAGGAAAAAAGTCGTGTCATGACCTCATGACCTCTAGGGAGTAGATTTACCCTGTATTGGTTATACCAATGTGTCTACCAACATGTTATACCAATGTGTCTACCAAAATGTTATACCAATGTGTCTATCAATGTGTTATACCAATGTGTCTACCAAGATGTTATACCAATGTGTCTATCAATGTGTTATACCAATGTGTCTATCAATGTGTTATACCAATGTGTCTACCAACATGTTATACCAATGTGTCTGCCAAGATGTTATACTAAAATGTCTACCAAGATGTTATACCAATGTGTCTACCAACATGTTATACCAATGTGTCTGCCAAGATGTTATACCAATGTGTCTACCAAGATGTTATACCAATGTGTCTATCAATGTGTTATACCAATGTGTCTACCAAGATGTTATACCAATGTGTCTGCCAAGATGTTATACTAAAATGTCTACCAAGATGTTATACCAATGTGTCTACCAACATGTTATACCAATGTGTCTACCAAGATGTTATACCAATGTGTCTACCAAGATGTTATACCAAAATGTCTACCAAGATGTTATACCAAAATGTCTACCAAAATGTTATACCAATGTGTCTACCAAGATGTTATACCAATGTGTCTACCAAGATGTTATACCAATGTGTCTATCAATGTGTCTACCAAGATGTTATACCAAAATGTCTACCAAGATGTTATACCAATGTGTCTATCAATGTGTTATACCAATATGTCTACCAACATGTTATACCAATGTGTCTACCAACATGTTATGTGTCTAACAATATGGTTATCAATGTGTTGTACCAACGTGTCTTTCAATGTGTTATACCAAAGTGTCTATCAATGTGTTATACCAATATGTCTATGAATGTGTTATACCAATATGTCTATCAATGTGTTATACCAATGTGTCTATCAATGTGTCTACCAAGTGTCTATCAATGTGTTATACCAAAGTGTCTTTCAGTGTGTCTACCAAAGTGTCTTTCAGTGTGTCTATCAAAGTGTCTATCAATGTGTCTTCCCATGTACCCAAGTTTATCACTCTATACCTCAGTATCAGTAGATCCACCTCTCACAATGTATCTGTGTACACCTAGTAGAAACAATGTGACAGGGGTGACGTGTGAGATATTAAATAAACAAAGCTAACATTGCACTCATTAGTAAATTGTAGTACTTCATAACAGAGCTGCTCTAGAGGTCACACAGAATTGATGGCACCAACATGTCAGTAAAGCAGACATATTTTACATAATTCAACATCGATTTTACAGAACGTTATATTCTATAACACAATATATAACACCTATCACAGATATAACACCTAATCCTTTAGTTATCAATGTACCGAGATCATTTCTCAAATCATGTCTAAAAACATTTAATCCTAGCTATCCTTGTACCAAGATCTATATTTCAATAAAATTAATAAATAATTTCTTCAGGTTAAGAATGAAATTACAAATTTTGCCACAACAGAAAATTACTTTCTGTGTGGAAACTTTTGTCGCAGGTTTACTATATATAATATACTGTTATATATCCACCATTGGTGTGAAATTAAAAGGTGGTCTAACACCTGATGCTTCAGTTCATAGTCTGATGTATTTTAGGGCGTAATTTATCACTCTGTGGATTTGAATACTTTTGTATCCTGGGAATAAAAAGATGTGTGTTGTCCCGTGTTCCATGATAATTAAATGCATTGTTCATAATCATTTTACTAGTATAATGTAATATGTGTTTGTGATATTGAAACTGGTCAAAGCTTGATTCAAGTCATCATAGATTTCAGTATGTCAATCAACATGCTAACTTCTCTACCTAACAATATATAATAGGGTTTGTTTATCACCAGTTTACACTGGGGTACATCAGATTTTAAAAAATGTGATCTAAAACAGTCTTCCTAACAAATGACTACAATAAGGATTTGTGTTTTAGGAAATAAAAGAAAGCTGAAAGTAAATATACAAGAAATACCTATATGAACAAAATTGTATGTAACTAAATATTTCAGTCGAAATTTGATAAAAATTTTTCTGCTGCAAAATACTTTATGGAATGTACTTGTAATTTCATTCTATAGCTGAAATCCTCACTTTATAGTGTCATACACACAGAGAGAAGAAATTGTGGCAGTATATGAAGGGATGGGTGTCTATTATCTGTAACAACAAAGTCTGTCCCACTGATTATAAACAAAATCACCATTAATTTTAGCACAAAACTTTTCTATCAAGTAAAATTACTGACCTAAAAATTACAACAACAAAAAATGTAAAAGTTTGCCTTGTAAATAAAAATGGCAAGTTTACAACAAAAATAAACAATAATAGATATTTAACATGATGAACACAAGCTTCCACACCAAATCACACAAAATATTTCACAGATTTATAACACAGTCCCTGTCTGCAACAAGGAATAATAGTTAGGAGCTGTCTCAAGGGAAGTAACTCCACTTTCCTTTTTGTAACATGGAAACAGCTTTTGTAACAACACTATATTCGCACAGCCAAGCTTTTCTTGATCTGATTAGATTTAATTTAAAGGCAAAAATACCACATTGAGCCTTGGACTCAAGGCTGACCTCCAGGCGTACTTAACTTACAGTCTTCAAGGTTAAGTCATAATAATGACCCTTGCACATATTGGTCAGTTCAAGGCAATGACCTCTTGACCTTTTCTAAATCCCTTTATCTAAATACCCACAAAAATTTATTCGAAATTTAAACCAATCACAATCTTTTACTTAAGCGTCAGCAGTCAATTTTTGATGAATTGATGACATCAGCAGTCGTTGACCTTTTGACCTCGGCAGACTTGATCTAGTGCCACCTCCAGTCATGCTCTGTCGAGGCTATTGTTACTAGAGAACTGTCTACTTGATGACGAGCTCCGCTGCATCCCATCAGCAGAGCTGCTATATACCGACTCATTGTCAGAGCTGGCATTAGAACGAGCATCAGCCGACGACTGGCTACGCCATCTTCTACTGCCCCCTGGTGAGCGACGATAGTCGATGTTGTACTACAGAAACAGAAAGGTGAAGATTTACATGAAATTCATGAAGAATGATGAAATTTACATAACAGTCTATAAAAGCAAACTGCAGTTTCACACAAAGAAAACAGAGTTAATGTGAAAAACTGAGTCGATGAGTTTCTCAGCCATTTAATAAAGAATTTCAAACAAGACCATTTCTGAGATGATTATCATACAGGACCTCGCTGTTGTGGTCAAACTGAGGTCAGATTAACTATTGATAAAAATTGCTGCAGACCAAACATGGACAATATCCTTATATGGAAAAAAGGATGTTTAAGAACGTACATTCCCCCAGTTGGGCCCTCTCCTCCCTTCCTAGGAGCCGGAATGCATTATTTATACAGAACTTAGTCCCCTTCACCTAAGAATTCTTCAGACCAAATTTGGGCAATATATGTGTATCAATTTATTCTCAAAAGAGGAGTAAGATTTTAAAGAACTTGCAAAATTGCCCTTTTTGGGCCCTGCCCCTAAGGCCCCCTTGGAACTGAAAGCCAATCCATACAAAAACTTTGTTCCCCTAAAATACTTCTGACCAAATTTGGGCCATATCTAATCATTCCCAGTAGGACTTCAAGGAATTTGCCCGATTTCCACAATTGGGCCCTATCCCTCTCACCCCAGTGGACTGGAAACGACGGTTTATACAAAACTGATTCCCCTGCACCAAGCAATGCTTCAGTCTAATTGCGCAAAATCAAGTCAATCCTACAGGAGGTGTAGGATTTTAAATAATTTACTCTTTTTCCCCTATTGGGCCTTGACTCTTAGGCCACAGGAGGCTGAGACCCATCATTAATACAAACTGATTCCTCTTCATCTAACAGCGCTTCAGACTAAATTTGGGGAAAATCTAATCATTCTTACAGGAGGAGTAGGATTTTAAATAATTTGCTCTATTTCCCTTATTGGGTCCGGCCTCCACCACCCCTAAAACTTTAAGATTTCCTCTTTTGGGCCGACGCCCTACAGGCCCCTAGGGGCAGAGATCCACAATTTATACATAATTTGTTTTTGTTTTCTCTAGGGATGCTTCTGACCAACTTTGATTAAAATTCTGTCAGTCATTAAAATCGACTGATGGGCAGATGGATGGCGGGACAGGTGGACATCACAGTATGCCATAAACTCACTTGGCCCTTTGGGCCAGGTGAGATTAAATAAAAAAAAAATTCTTGTGCTATGACCTGTTTTTCAAGATCTAAAGAAACAGATTATTACTATGTGGTTAATCAAAATCTCTGTGTGAAGATTTTTCTGAATATCTAGTGTATAAAATACAACCATTTCTTAAGATACAATGTGAATAATACCAACATATAGAACCTTTTAAAACAATCTATAATCCCACAAAATTGGTCCCTCTTTCCCCAGAGATGCTTCATACCAAATTAAGTCATTCATGAATAATTGCAATATGTAGTAAAAGTTGACAGATGACGGACACCACATAAAGCATCCTAACCAAGGTGAAAGACAAATTTGGGGATACTGTTCTTTTTTTTGGACATTTTCATCTTTGTAAATATAATTTGTTGAAATGAAATAAGGAATGCAATACACATGTAACGATGCAGCCATTGAGATAATTACCTTGGTAGCACAGATAAAGCTCGTGGTGACAACTTTTGCTATGGCATTCATCAGGTTCTTTGTCTCCTGTATGGCACTGTCCACCTGTTAAATAGCAAATTGATACTAAATGACATGAGGTGATAAAATTACCTCAAGCAGTGTTTGGTTTAAAGACTTTCTGTATATTGCTATTTTCATGTTTCATGTAACTGACTTTCTCCATATACTAGGTCATACTTAAGAAAGATAACCGTGTTAAATGTGGATTTTCTGTCTGTTAGAGATTTAACCTTGTTAAATGTGGAAGATTTTTTTTAAATGTTTGAGACCTTTCCTTGTTAAATGTAGCAGATTTCTGTCTGTTGGAGACTTGCCTTGTTAAATGTGGCAGATTTTCTGAAATGTTTGAGACCTAACCTTGTTAAATGTGAAAGATTTTCTGTCTGTTGGAGATCTTACCTTGTTAAATGTAGCAGATTTCTGTCTGTTGGAGACTTGCCTTGTTAAATGTAGCAGATTTCTGTCTGTTGGAGATCTTACCTTGTTAAATGTAGCAGATTTCTGTCTGTTGGAGATCTTACCTTGTTAAATGTAGCAGATTTCTGTCTGTTGGAGATCTTACCTTGTTAAATGTAGCAGATTTCTGTATGTCAGAGATCTTACCTTGTTAAATGTAGCAGATTTCTGTCTGTTGGAGACTTGCCTTGTTAAATGTAGCAGATTTCTGTTGTTAAATGAGATTTCTTACCTTGTTAAATGTAGCAGATTTCTGTCTGTTGGAGATCTTACCTTGTTAAATGTAGCAGATTTCACCTTGTTAAATGTAGCAGATTTCTGTTATGTCTGTTGGAGATCTTACCTTGTTAAATGTAGCAGATTTCTGTAGCAGATCTTACCTTGTTAAATGTAGCAGATTTCTGTCTGTTGGAGATCTTACCTTGTTAAATGTAGCAGATTTCTGTCTGTTGGAGATCTTACCTTGTTAAATGTAGCAGATTTCTGTATGTCAGAGATCTTACCTTGTTAAATGTAGCAGATTTCTGTCTGTTGGAGATCTTACCTTGTTAAATGTAGCAGATTTCTGTCTGTTGGAGATCTTACCTTGTTAAATGTAGCAGATTTCTGTCTGTTGGAGATCTTACCTTGTTAAATGTAGCAGATTTCTGTATGCCAGAGATCTTACCTTGTTAAATGTAGCAGATTTCTGTCTGTTGGAGATCTTACCTTGTTAAATGTAGCAGATTTCTGTCTGTTGGAGATCTTACCTTGTTAAATGTAGCAGATTTCCGTCTGTTGGAGATCTTACCTTGTTAAATGTAGCAGATTTCTGTCTGTTGGAGATCTTACCTTGTTAAATGTAGCAGATTTCTGTCTGTTGGAGATCTTACCTTGTTAAATGTAGCAGATTTCTGTCTGTTGGAGATCTTACCTTGTTAAATGTAGCAGATTTCTGTCTGTTGGAGATCTTACCTTGTTAAATGTAGCAGATCTTACCTTGTTAAATGTAGCAGATTTCTGTCTGTTGGAGATCTTACCTTGTTAAATGTAGCAGATTTCTGTCTGTTGGAGATCTTACCTTGTTAAATGTAGCAGATTTCTGTCTGTTGGAGATCTTACCTTGTTAAATGTAGCAGATTTCTGTCTGTTGGAGAGACCTTGTTAAATTAGCCTTGTCTGTTGGAGATCTTACCTTGTTAAATGTAGCAGATTTCTGTCTGTTGGAGATCTTACCTTGTTAAATGTAGCAGATTTCTGTCTGTTGGAGATCTTACCTTGTTAAATGTAGCAGATTTCTGTCTGTTGGAGATCTTACCTTGTTAAATGTAGCAGATTTCTGTCTGTTGGAGATCTTACCTTGTTAAATGTAGCAGATTTCTGTCTGTTGGAGATCTTACCTTGTTAAATGTAGCAGATTTCTATGCCAGAGATCTTACCTTGTTAAATGTAGCAGATTTCTGTCTGTTGGAGATCTTACCTTGTTAAATGTAGCAGATTTCTGTCTGTTGGAGATCTTACCTTGTTAAATGTAGCAGATTTCTGTCTGTTGGAGATCTTACCTTGTTAAATGTAGCAGATTTCTGGAGATCTTACCTTGTTAAATGTAGAGATCTGTTGGAGACCTTGTTAAATGTAGCAGATTTCTGTCTGTTGGAGACTTACCTTGTTAAATGTAGCAGATTTCTGTCTGTTGGAGATCTTACCTTGTTAAATGTAGCAGATTTCTGTGTTGGAGATTTTACCTTGTTAAATGTAGCAGATTTCTGTCTGTTGGAGATCTTACCTTGTTAAATGTAGCAGATTTCTGATTTCTGTCTGTTGGAGATCTTACCTTGTTAAATGTAGCAGATTTCTGTCTGTTGGAGATCTTACCTTGTTAAATGTAGCAGATTTCTGTATGCCAGAGATCTTACCTTGTTAAATGTAGCAGATTTCTGTCTGTTGGAGATCTTACCTTGTTAAATGTAGCAGATTTCTGTATGCCAGAGATCTTACCTTGTTAAATGTAGCAGATTTCTGTCTGTTGGAGATCTTACCTTGTTAAATGTAGCAGATTTCTGTCTGTTGGAGATCTTACCTTGTTAAATGTAGCAGATTTCTGTCTGTCTGTTGGAGATCTTACCTTGTTAAATGTAGCAGATTTCTGTCTGTTGGAGATCTTACCTTGTTAAATGTAGCAGATTTCTGTATATAAGAGATCTTACCTTGTTAAATGTAGCAGATCTTACCTTGTTAAATGTCTGTCTGCCAGAGATCTTACCTTGTTAAATGTAGCAGATTTTTCTGTGTAGCAGAGATCTTACCTTGTTAAATGTAGCAGATTTCTGTCTGCCAGAGATCTTACCTTTGTCTGTTGGAGATCTTACCTTGTTAAATGTAGCAGATTTCTGTCTGTTGGAGATCTTACCTTGTTAAATGTAGCAGATTTCTGAGATCTTACCTTGTAAATGTAGAGATCTTACCTTGTTAAATGTTGTTAGAACCTTGTTAAATGTAGCAGATTTCTGTCTGTTGGAGATCTTACCTTGTTAAATGTAGCAGATTTCTGTCTGTTGGAGATCTTACCTTGTTAAATGTAGCAGATTTCTGTCTGTTGGAGATCTTACCTTGTTAAATGTAGCAGATTTCTGTGTTGGAGATCTTACCTTGTTAAATGTAGCAGATTTCTGTCTGTTGGAGATCTTACCTTGTTAAATGTAGCAGATTTCTGTCTGTTGGAGATCTTACCTTGTTAAATGTAGCAGATTTCTGTCTGTTTGAGATCTTACCTTGTTAAATGTAGCAGATTTCTGTCTGTTGGAGATCTTACCTTGTTAAATGTAGCAGATTTCTGTCTGTTGGAGATCTTACCTTGTTAAATGTAGCAGATTTTCTGATCTTACCTTGTTAAATGTAGCAGATTTCTGTGTTGGAGATCTTACCTTGTTAAATGTAGCAGATTTCTGTCTGTTGGAGATGTTACCCTGTTAAATGTAGCAGATTTCTGTCTGTTGGAGACTTGCCTTGTTAAATGTAACAGATTTCTGTCTGTTGGAGATCTTACCTTGTTAAATGTAGCAGATTTCTGTCTGTTGGCGATCTTACCTTGTTCAATGTAGCAGGAGATCTTACCTTGTTAAATTAGTTGGAGATTTAAATGTAGCAGATCTTACCTGTAGCAGATTTCTTGTTAAATGTCTGTTGGAGATCTTACCTTGTTAAATGTAGCAGATTTCTGTCTGTTGGAGATCTTACCTTGTTAAATGTAGCAGATTTCTGTCTGTTGGAGATCTTACCTTGTTAAATGTAGCAGATTTCTGTCTGTTGGAGATCTTACCTTGTTAAATGTAGCAGATTTCTGTCTGTTGGAGATCTTACCTTGTTAAATGTAGCAGATTTCTGTATGTCAGAGATCTTACCTTGTTAAATGGAGATCTTACCTTGTTAAATGTAGCAGATTTCTACCTTGTTAAATGTAGCAGAGATCAGAGATTACCTTGTTAAATGTAGCAGATTTCTGTCTGTTGGAGATCTTACCTTGTTAAATGTAGCAGATTTCTGTCTGTTGGAGATCTTACCTTGTTAAATGTAGCAGATTTCTGTCTGTTGGAGATCTTACCTTGTTAAATGTAGCAGATTTCTGTCTGTTGGAGATCTTACCTTGTTAAATGTAGCAGATTTCTGTGGAGATCTTACCTTGTTAAATGTAGAGATCTTACCTTGTTAAATGTAGCAGATTTCTGTCTGTTGGAGATCTTACCTTGTTAAATGTAGCAGATTTCTGTATGCCAGAGATCTTACCTTGTTAAATGTAGCAGATTTCTGTATGCCAGAGATCTTACCTTGTTAAATGTAGCAGATTTCTGTCTGTTGGAGATCTTACCTTGTTAAATGTAGCAGATTTCTGTCTGTTGGAGATCTTACCTTGTTAAATGTAGCAGAGATGTCAGAGATCTTACCTTGTTAAATGTAGCAGATTTCTGTACCTTGTTGTAGAGATCTTACCTTGTTAAATGTAGCAGATTTCTGTCTGTTGGAGATCTTACCTTGTTAAATGTAGCAGATTTCTGTCTGTTGGAGATCTTACCTTGTTAAATGTAGCAGATTTCTGTCTGTTGGAGATCTTACCTTGTTAAATGTAGCAGAGTCTGTTGGAGATTTCTGTCTGTTGGAGATCTTACCTTGTTAAATGTAGCAGATTTCTGTCTGTTGGAGATCTTACCTTGTTAAATGTAGCAGATTTCTGTCTGTTGGAGATCTTACTACCTTGTTAAATGTAGCAGATTTCTGTCTGTTGGAGATCTTACCTTGTTAAATGTAGCAGATTTCTGTGTTGGAGATCTTACCTTGTTAAATGTAGCAGATTTCTGTCTGTTGGAGACTTACCTTGTTAAATGTAGCAGATTTCTGTCTGTTGGAGACTTGCCTTGTTAAATGTAGCAGATTTCTGTCTGTTGGAGATCTTACCTTGTTAAATGTAGCAGATTTCTGTCTGTTGGAGATCTTACCTTGTTAAATGTAGCAGATTTCTGTCTGTTGGAGATCTTACCTTGTTAAATGTAGCAGATTTCTGATCTTACCTTGTTAAATGTAGCAGATTTCTGTCTGTTGGAGATCTTACCTTGTTAAATGTAGCAGATTTCTGTCTGTTGGAGATCTTACCTTGTTAAATGTAGCAGATTTCTGTCTGTTGGAGATCTTACCTTGTTAAATGTAGCAGATCTTACCTTGTTAAATGTAGCAGATTTCTGTCTGCTGGAGATCTTACCTTGTTAAATGTAGCAGATTTCTGTATATCAGAGATCTTACCTTGTTAAATGTAGCAGATTTCTGTCTGTTGGAGATCTTACCTTGTTAAATGTAGCAGATTTCTGTCTGTTGGAGATCTTACCTTGTTAAATGTAGCAGATTTCTGTCTGTTGGAGATCTTACCTTGTTAAATGTTAAAGCAGATTTCTGTTAAATGTAGCAGATTTCTGTCTGTTGGAGATCTTACCTTGTTAAATGTAGCAGATTTCTGTCTGTTGGAGATCTTACCTTGTTAAATGTAGCAGATTTCTGTGCCAGAGATCTTACCTGTTGGAGATCTTACCTTGTTAAATGTAGCAGATTTCTGTCTGTTGGAGATCTTACCTTGTTAAATGTAGCAGATTTCTGTAAATGTTGGAGATCTTACCTTGTTAAATGTAGCAGATTTCTGTCTGCTGGAGATCTTACCTTGTTAAATGTAGCAGATTTCTGTCTGTTGGAGATCTTACCTTGTTAAATGTAGCAGATTTCTGTCTGTTGGAGATCTTACCTTGTTAAATGTAGCAGATTTCTGTCTGTTGGAGATCTTACCTTGTTAAATGTAGCAGATTTCTGTCTGTTGGAGATCTTACCTTGTTAAATGTAGCAGATTTCTGTCTGTTGGAGATCTTACCTTGTTAAATGTAGCAGATTTCTGTCTGTTGGAGATCTTACCTTGTTAAATGTAGCAGATTTCTGTCTGTTGGAGATCTTACCTTGTTAAATGTAGCAGATGGAGATCTTACCTTGTTAAATGTTCTGTAAATGTAGCAGAGATCTTACCTTGTTAAATGTAGCAGATTTCTGTCTGTTGGAGATCTTACCTTGTTAAATGTAGCAGATTTCTGTATGTCAGAGATCTTACCTTGTTAAATGTAGCAGATTTCTGTATGTCAGAGATCTTACCTTGTTAAATGTAGCAGATTTCTGACGGTTGGAGACTTGCCTTGTTAAATGTAGCAGATTTCTGTATGTTGGAGATCTTACCTTGTTAAATGTAGCAGATTTCTGACGGTTGGAGACTTACCTTGTTAAATGTAGCAGATTTCTGTCTGTTGGAGATCTTACCTTGTTAAATGTAGCAGATTTCTGTCTGTTGGAGATCTTACCTTGTTAAATGTAGCAGACCTTGTTAAATGTAGCAGATTTCTGACGGTTGGAGACTTGCCTTGTTAAATGTAGCAGATTTCTGTCTGTTGGAGATCTTACCTTGTTAAATGTAGCAGATTTCTGTATGTCAGAGATCTTACCTTGTTAAATGTAGCAGATTACGATGGAATCCTGTCGAGATGAGACAGCAATTCTTCACGATGAACACACAGTGGCACCTGTAACACAACTCTATCAGGTTAAAAATGTTATCTACCAACACAGAGACTTAAGGCTGTATGAGAGTTTGTTGCCTTCCTCAGCAAAATATTCAGCCTGTACAAACAGGTCATGTGTGGTTTTCAGCGGTCCCTCCCCTCGGGTAAATAGGTACATACTAAATGCCATGCTTGACATGTTTTTTGCCCGCTTTACAATGTCATTATCCGGCTCCTCCCACTTGTCCGTCTCAGCATCCATTTCTGATGTGATTAACTTCATCTCCAGGCCGAGCTTCGCAATCTTGGCTTGTTCCTGAAAGGTCAAAGGTCTTATATCAAAATCCTTGCAATGATTCCCCCTGAGACAGCACTACAAATTTAGCTTTAGTAAATTCAAAGTTCATCTGTTTCATAACATTTCGGCAGACCAGCACTTTAAATACCAGTAAGTCTCAACTGTATGGCTTTTACAGTGACATCCAAGTATAATCAAGTTTATAGTTTAAGGACAGCTGTAATATGATTGAGTAACTGACTACTGACACTTTGGTGTCGAGATCTACATTTCTCATTTTCTATGAAACATACCATAATTATAACACAAATTTCGATTTCTGAATTCATCAGAGATTTGTATTAGATCAACAGACTTGTAGTCATTATGACACCTTATGTAGCACAGATTTGTTATTGGCACAGAATTCTTCATTCTTATCCAATAAATTATTGGCTGGCATGTCGGAAAATGTCAAAAGATAATTAACTAGTACTAGTACCTGGAAAATGCTAGTAATTTATCCTCAATTTCAATTCAGGAAACATCAGAAATCTTTTGTCTTTTCTACAAAGTAAAACAGTTGTTTGTCTTTATACCACAGGGGTCTGTCACTATACCACAGGGGTCTGTCTATACCACAAGGGTCTGTCACTACCACAGGGATCTGTCACTATAACACAGGGGTCTGTCTCTATACCACAGGGGTCTGTCTATACCACAAGGGTCTGTCACTACCACAGGGGTCTGTCACTATACCACAGGGGTATGTCACTACCACAGGGGTCTGTCACTATAACACAGGGGTCTGTCACTACCACAGGGGTCTGTCACTATACCACAGGGGTCTGTCACTAAACCACAGGGGTCTGTCACTATAACACAGGGGTCTGTCACTATACCACAGGGGTCTGTCACTATACCACAGGGGTCTGTCTCTATACCACAGGGGTCTGTCACTATAACACAGGGGTCTGTCTCTATACCACAGGGGTCCGTCACTATAATACAGAGGTCAGTCACTATAATAGAGAGGTCTGTCTCTATACCACAGGGGTCTGTCACTATACCACAGGGGTCTGTCACAATAAAACAGGGGTCTGTCAATATAACACAGGGGTCTGTCACTATACCACAGGGGTCTGTCTCTATACCACAGGGGTCTGTCACTATAACACAGGGGTCTGTCTCTATACCACAGGGGTCTGTCACTATAACACATATGTCTGTCACTATAAAACAGGGGTCTGTCTCTATAAAACAGGGGTCTGTCACTATAACACAGGGGTCTGTCACTATACCACAGGGGTCTGTCACTATAAAACAGGGGTCTGTCACTATACCACAGGGGTCTGTCACTATAACACAGAGGTCTGTCTCTATACCACAGTGGTCTGTCACTATACCACAGGGGTCTGTCACTATAACACAGAGGTCAGTCACTATAATACAGAGGTCTGTCTCTATACCACAGGGGTCTGTCTATATAACACTTGGGTCTGTCTCTATACCAGAGGGTCATTTCTCTATAACACAGAGTTCTGTTTCTATAACACAGGGGTCTGCCTTTATAACACAGACTTATATAAGTATAACACAGAGTTCTCTCTCTATAACACAGAGTTCTGTCTATATAACACAGGGATCTGTCTATATAACACAGGGATCTGTCTATATAACACAGGGATCTGTCTATATAACACAGGGATCTGTCTATATAACACAGGGATCTGTCTATATAACACAGGGATCTGTCTATATAACACAGAAGTATATAACACTGGTACATTTTGTTTATCATGATATTATACAGAAACAGTATTAGGTGAATTATCTATAGTTGTGATATTATTACACTTGGAGTAAGTTCAATACTTTGTAACACTAAATGTAGGACCAAGAAGAGATCTGCTATATATACACCTTTACATCAATAACCCAGACATTGACTCCCCATGTTGGCCTTCAGTGTGGCCATACATCTGATCTACTGGGCTGTATTGTCTCCTCCATTTTTAGGCCAACTTGCAGACATCATTCAGTGACCCAATCACCGAAGTAACATACATGTTCCTGGTGTTCTCATCCCCAGACAGACAATTTAATAGCATATTTCAGACCATATACAATGCCCTCACAGCTGTGTAGCCCTACTAATTACCTTAAAATCTTATTCTTCTCTCAAAATCTCCTCATTACTGCCCCCAAATCTTAAACATGATACTGTCCTCAAAATCTCAACCCGATATTACCAATCAAACTCTTAACTTGATACTGCCCTCAAACTAAATAAACCAGACACTGCCCTCACACTTTCAACCTGACATTGCCCTCAAACCATTAACCTAATAATGCCCTCAAATCATAAACCTGTTAATGCCCTCATACTTTTAACTTGATACTAACTTAAATACATAAACCTGATACTGCCAGCTCTAAGCTGTAATACAGCTGTCTCCAATCTCAATGTCAAATCTAAGGGGAACAGCTCCAAGTCGTAATACAGGATAATACAGACCTAATCCTGTAATACAGGGTAACACTGACATCACCCTGTAATACAGACTAACACTGACCTCACCCTGTAATACAGACTAACACTGACCTCACTCTGTAATACAGGGTAACACTGACATCACCCTGTAATACAGGGTAACACTGACTCACCCTGTAATACAGACTAACACTGACCTCACCCTGTAATACAGACTAACACTGACCTCACCCTGTAATACAGGGTAACACTGACATCACCCTGTAATACAGACTAACACTGACCTCACCCTGTAATACAGGGTAACACTGACATCACCCTGTAATACAGACTAACACTGACCTCACCCTGTAATACAGACTAACACTGACCTCACTCTGTAATACAGAGTAACACTGACCTCACCCTGTAATACAGGCTAACACTGACCTCACCCTGTAATACAGACTAACACTGACCTCACCCTGTAATACAGACTAACACTGACCTCACCCTGTAATACAGAGTAACACTGACCTCACCCTGTAATACAGACTAACACTGACCTCACTCTGTAATACAGAGTAACACTGACCTCACCCTGTAATACAGGCTAACACTGACATCACCCTGTAATACAGACTAACACTGACCTCACCCTGTAATACAGACTAACACTGACCTCACCCTGTAATACAGAGTAACACTGACCTCACCCTGTAATACAGGCTAACACTGACATCACCCTGTAATACAGACTAACACTGACCTCACCCTGTAATACAGACTAACACTGACCTCACCCTGTAATACAGAGTAACACTGACCTCACCCTGTAATACAGTGTAACACTGACCTCACTCTGTAATACAGAGTAACACTGACCTCACTCTGTAATACAGACTAACACTGACCTCACTCTGTAATACAGACTAACACTGACCTCACTCTGTAATACAGAGTAACACTGACCTCACTCTGTAATACAGAGTAACACTGACCTCACTCTGTAATACAGATTAACACTGACCTCACTCTGTAATACAAAATAACACTGACCTCACTCTGTAATACAGAGTAACACTGACCTCACCCTGTAATACAGAGTAACACTGACCTCACCCTGTAATACAGACTAACACTGACCTCACCCTGTAATACAGACTAACACTGACCTCACCCTGTAATACAGACTAACACTGACCTCACCCTGTAATACAGAGTAACACTGACCTCACCCTGTAATACAGGCTAACACTGACCTCACTCTGTAATACAGATTAACACTGACCTCACTCTGTAATACAGAGTAACACTGACCTCACCCTGTAATACAGACCAACACTGACCTCACCCTGTAATACAGGCTAACACTGACCTCACCCTGTAATACAAACTAACACTGACCTCACCCTGTAATACAGATTAACACTGACCTCACTCTGTAATACAAACTAACACTGACCTCACCCTGTAATACAGAGTAACACTGACCTCACCCTGTAATACAGACTAACACTGACCTCACTCTGTAATACAGACTAACACTGACCTCACTCTGTAATACAGACTAACACTGACCTCACCCTGTAATACAGGCTAACACTGACCTCACCCTGTAATACAGACTAACACTGACCTCACTCTGTAATACAGGCTAACACTGACCTCACCCTGTAATACAGAGTAACACTGACCTCACCCTGTAATACAGACTAACACTGACCTCACCCTGTAATACAGACTAACACTGACCTCACCCTGTAATACAGACTAACACTGACCTCACCCTGTAATACAGACTAACACTGACCTCATCCTGTAATACAGACCAACACTGACATCACTCTGTAATACAGACTAACACTGACCTCACCCTGTAATACAGGCCAACACTGACATCACTCTGTAATACAGAGTAACACTGACCTCACCTTGTAATACAGGCCAACACTGACCTCACCCTGTAATACAGAGTAACACTGACCTCACCCTGTAATACAGGCCAACACTGACCTCACCCTGTAATACAGACTAACACTGACCTCACCCTGTAATACAGGGTAACACTGACATCACCCTGTAATACAGACTAACACTGACCTCGCCCTGTAATACAAACTAACACTGACCTCGCCCTGTAATACAGGGTAACACTGACATCACCCTGTAATACAGGCTAACACTGACCTCACCCTGTAATACAGGCTAACACTGACCTCACCCTGTAATACAGGGTAACACTGACATCACCCTGTAATACAGGCTAACACTGACCTCACCCTGTAATACACTAACACTGACCTCACATTCCTGATCCTATTTCAATGTCTCACAAGAACAGTTCCAAGTTGTAAAATTATGTTATAACAAAATTTCAACATACAATGTTTTCTCACAGTTTAGAGTTGATTTTAATTAAACCTTATTATCTTATGTTTCTAGAAATACCTTTGCTCGTTAATCCTGCTGTACATTATAATTACTTAATAATTAGTACCTATTTCATTTGTGATTGATCAGTGAAAAACTTTCTAAAACTTGGCCAATGGAAACTCTGACAGAA